CTGACAGCAGACAGATCCAATTTAAGGGGAGACTCCTCACTAATAGACCCAATCATAGTTCCTCCTCTTCCTCCTCCTCATCTGGTGGAAAGAGAAGAAGATCATCAAGTAAGACATCATCACTGCAAGATTCTTCTTCAGGTGAGTATCAATTTCACACAAGCACACAGCAATGAGTTTCCACGAGTTTTTTTACACCCTTGATTTAGTCTGGAAAACGCATGATTTTAAGCTGTGCAATGCTTGATTATGTGAAATCACTGTTTTTTTCCCTTAAAAAAATTTGCTAATGCCAATTTATCAGTCTCAGAAAGAGAGAGGCAGACATCCACTCCACCGGGAAGACCCTCCCCCTCTTCCTCCTCGTCCACCACCCCGGTCTCTTCCCCCAACAAGAGATCTCTCCAGGTTGAAGCTGGAGGGTCTAGCAATACCACTCAGATTGCTCCCGACTGGCCGTGGAGCCGACTCAGCGATACAGACAGACTCAGAAGGGTTAAATTTCTAGCCGAGAGAGCAATCAAGGTAAAATTCAGATCAGCTAACGAATTTAAACACGAGACAAACACTTACAAAACTGCTTCCTGGGCCTATTGCTTACATACTGTACGTATATACAACGGATGAAATTTTCGTCTCGGAGTGGGTTTCACTGCACTCTCCAGCTATACCTAGTCATGGTATTCAGGTTAGTTAGCTTGTCCTTCCCCCAAAACTCCCACTAAAAGTACGAACATTTTAATTTACATCATTCCTGGGTTTCACTGCACTCTCCAGCTATACCTAGTCATGGTATTCAGGTTAGTTAGCTTGTCCTTCCCCCAAAACTCCCACTAAAAGTACGAACATTTTAATTTACATCATTCCTGGGTTTCACTGCACTCTCCAGCTATACCTAGTCATGGTATTCAGGTTAGTTAGCTTGTCCTTCCCCCAAAACTCCCACTAAAAGTACGACGTTTAATTTACATCATTCCTGGGTCTCGCCGCACTCTCCAGCTACAGTATCTTTCTCTGGTGTATATATGTACAACTGCAGAAGAAGAAGGTGTTTGTGTGCAGAGGTGGCTACAGCACAATCAGAAAGTGTCTGAGAGAGAGAGGCTGGGTGGAGAGAGATCACAAGACCGAGACCGAGTCACCTTACCTGGCAATGAGAGCTGTCGGTAGGAGAACAAAGAGTGGCGGAGAGGGTGTGGCTGGTGGGCGTGGCAGATCACGTGACTCCAGCCACACCCACCACTGTGACAGTGACAGTAGTGACAACGTGAGGTGGTTGAGAGGGAGAAGTGTGCAGGTGTGGAAGGTGCTGATGTGACATGGGGGAGCAAGAGTACCACATGGTGGTAAGTCAGAGATGGGGCTACCATTTGTTTCGTTTTTGTTTCAATGAATTCTCGTTTAACAATTCTCACCCGCACAATACTTGCGTAATGTTCGGGTAAAATATTCACTCTCATGATAATTATTCCCAACAAAAACCTGAGGTCTGTAGTCATCAGACACTTGCATTATAGATGTGGGGCGTATATACAATGTATACAAAAGCATGTCGGGGTCAGTAAACTGACTATTCTCCTACCTGGCCCTCCCGGCATCTCCCCCAGTGTCGTGCGGTGAGGAACGCTGACCCAAACTTTGTCTGGACTCTGAGAAGAGATGATTCTCTCTACACCAACCTCCTCCCCTCGGCCTTTGCCAACCACTTCGCCAAAGCCTCTTCCTTCACCACCAAGGTACAGTACGTATCTATCTGGACTTGTGTTAGGAGCACAACACGCTGTCACCACCAAGATATGTGTGTATGTAAATTATACCAATTCGCGATATTTTTGTCTGGAAGCATAAATTTTGAGACCATGAAAAGATTGTGGATGTTAACTACAGAGTATTCATAGGGCCTCAGCGTGTAAACTTTGATGTGTGTGTGTGTGTGTGTATGTGTGTGTGACTGTGGTGACTGTTGTGAAGGTGGGACTGTGTGCCAACCTGAGGAACCTGGTGTGGTGTGGGGAGACGCACTCTGACCTCTTCTTCCCTCGCTGCTTCCTCCTCAGTTCTCCCGAAGAGAAGGATTCTTTCATCAGTGAGACACTCTTTACTTCATCTTGCACCCTATCAATACATACATCCTTACTGCCTATGACCTCATCCCCATACATTTACACTTACACCTGATTGTAAGAACCCAATTCATCATTCACATACCCATGTTCCCATACTGTCCAAACTCGTACCCCACTCTCATACCCAATACCACATTCTCATACCCCCATTCTTCCAATCCAATAATTCCTCTCACACGATGACTATAGATTCGCGACAGCTCTCAACATTCTGAAACTAGTGACCGACCAACAATGGGGCAGGTTCCAATCTCAGCACAACACATTATCGCCTCACCTCCCACCCCCAGTACCACGACTCCGCACACGGCTCAAAACACACGCCACAACAGACCGGTCAGTGTTTCCAGGGGGTCTTCCGTGAATATTGGACTCCACGGCCCCCCGTGTGAGCCCCCCGTGGTCCCAGAAGAAGCAGTCGGTTTGGCGCTCCGTGCCTGCTCTGCCTATGTTAGCTCCAGACTGCATGAGGATATTGAGGAAGAGAGCAAGGTCAGGAGGAGAGGGAGGGGAGAGAGATATTAATGTTCCCATGCAGTGTCTTGAGCTGGCCGGGACAGAATGGCAAAGTCTAATCAACTACTACTACAAGATAGTCCTGTAAGCCCCTCCCTCCCTCCCTCCCTCTTTCCCCTTTATTTCAGTTTCAAATATACATGTTCCATTCAGAGAGGGCGGGAGGTTTGCCTGCAGTACACTAACAGTTAGGAAGGCCTCTGACATGCTGGATGAGGTAATCATCTACAGAGCTAATAGTTTCTTATTGGCTCAAAAGACCTCAATGTTGGCATGCAGTTGGAGAAGTACTTGCCTCAACTGTACATGGATGGAGTACGTAATATCTGGATCGTCAAGCCAGGGGCAATGTCCAGGGGGAGAGGTTAGCTAACTTACAAACCAGCTCACACCTCCATTGTAGTAAGTCATCAATGATCGTAGAATGCTATGCATTAGGCAGTGGAAATAAATTTTATATACGAAAATTTCCAAAATGGTATGGTAGCGAGTTTGTAACAAGGCCTACTAAAAGCTCTTCTGATCTCCATCTGGTGTGGTTCACAGTCTTGGGAAATATCAGTGTGTTGAAAATTGGACGCTGTTAAAATCTACTTACGTATGTAGGTATAGTGTGTCTGGAGCGTCTGGAGCCCATTCTGGAGCTTGTCTCCAGTCCATTCCACAAGGAGGGGAAGTGGGTGGTGCAGAAGTACATCGAGCGACCGCTGCTCATCTACGGAACAAAGTTTGACATTCGCCAGTGGTTCCTCGTTACCGACTGGGCCCCTCTCACCATGTGGATGTACAAGGTACAGTATGTGTGACTTTATGTGCTATTATGAATTAGGGGCACTGAAGTTTGTTTTAGCACACTGTCAATACAAATGCACCCAAGTGAATGATCAGGCAACTTTGACCCCTGCTTGCTGGTGAAAGCAACTGGCACATCGTGTGTTTTATTCCATGAGTTAGTGTGGAGTTCAGTCTTCTTTCTATTTAGGATTGCTACCTCAGATTTGCCACCCAGAGGTTCACACTGGACAACATGAATGAGTATGTGCAACACCACCAGCTAATACCATCTCACTCCCCCCACCCACCACATACAGGAGTGTTCATCTATGCAACAACAGTATACAGAGGAACTACACCAACAGTGGCAGCAGATCTGAGCTACTGCCCGAAGAGAACATGTGGCACAGCTCCACTTTCAAGATTACCTGGAGTCAGTTTTACGGCTACTGTATTTTGAGGCCAAAAAATTGTAAATCAAGATGAAAGTTTTGTTGATTGAGCATCAGCCAGATCCTACTCTCCCCTCAAATGAGGACACTTTTCTAAAAGATGCGCCTTTTCTTTTCCCTAAGAACAGTTCTTGCATGCACAGCCACACCTCCTCGCTAATATGGAAACTTCTTCTGTCCCATTGGTGTCTGGATTAGAGTGCTTTCACTGCAGCTCCACAACCTAGAGTATCCCTCATCTAGTTGGTGTGTGTGTGTTGTATTCCGTGCAGGACGTGTCTAGGACAGGATGGAGTATGGGATGAGGTCATCTATCCGGGAATGAAACACGCCCTCACGTGTTCCATGATGGTCTCTCAGGACATTGTGGAGGGAAGAAAGGTTTACATACCCCCCACCCTTCCCTCTCAGTCTTCACATTTCTCTCTTTCATCTTTCTCTCTCCCTGCGTACCCTCCCACTCGCCTTTCTCTCTCCTCCCTCTCGCTCTGTAATGAACTCTCTCACTTGCGGTTTTCCCGGGCAGAACTCGTTCGAGCTCTACGGAGCTGATTTCATGCTCACTGACGACTTCAAACCATGGCTGGTACGTAAAGGCCAACACAACACCACTTAGACAAGAGTCTCTTGTATAGGGTGCAGGCAATGAAAATAGAAGTGGTGTGTAATGCAATGCCCCATACATTGACGCTTTTGTCTCACAATCAACTTGGCCCGTGTATGTCTCACCCCACTATCCAACACTTACTAAAGCCACACACACACACACACACATGCAACAGACTCTCTCCGTAATACCCTATTGTCACGGTGCTTCATACGTTGCCACAGATTGAGATAAACTGTAGTCCCACAATGGAGCCTAGTACCTCTGTCACCACTCAACTCTGCGCTCAAGTCATGGAGGACACCATCAGAGGTACAACACCTTTGTGACAAACCTTTCGCAAGTTTTGGTCAGCTGGTTAGCAGGGCATGCTAAATAAGCGATTTCGCACACTCCTGAAGTTGCAAAGTGTTTCAGTTCTAAATGGAGCACCCCACCAATAAAACCTATATACAACATGTATGGTGGATCCTCATTTTCCCTCCTATCTCAGTGGTGGTGGACAGAAGAGAGAACAAGGAAGCCAGTACTGGGAAATTCGAACTGGCCTACAGACAGGTTACAATAATACACCACCTCTCCATACTACTATTATGCTACAGTGGAACATCTGAAAAAGGAACTTCCAAATAGAGCACACCTCTCTATATAGGACAGTGTGGTTCTTCCCCATACAGTAGGTGTATATCCCTTATTCAGAGGTTTAACTATACCCTTTACCCTAATGACAACATTTTGGTATAACAGAGAATGGATACCCTTCATTTTTCTCCCATCAGGCAAAGTTTGATACTCCGTCATACATTGGTATTCAGCTATGTGTGGAGGGCGTGGCAATCCACCGAAGCCACACCCATCATCGCTCGGCCCCTGCCATTCCCGTAGCTAGTATTAGCTACACCAAAACTTGACCACACCCCCTGTACAACTGTGGGTTTGTCTAACTTTCAATATACAGTCATTTTGACATCAATCATTTTTCATTACTGAACTTTTGTGGGGAAGTATTTTATTTTACACCAAATATCCCATGTGAGATGCCAGAGACGTTACGATAGAAAATTGTAGGCGGAAACACACTGGCGCTGGCAACCATACTATTACGTCTGGACTTGCACACAGTAACTGTGCAATTATTGTGCCATTTTCACACGCGCATAAGTGCCCCTTTAAATGCACATCTTTTACACGAGCACGTAATTTTATTACTTTTACTATCTTTGTGTACCAAAATATCAGTATAAGTGGACATGTGAACAAGGATAGTTCCCCTCGGCGCAGAGGGGGAGGTCGTGTGACAACAAAGGAAGGTCATGTGACTGGTCATGTGACCAGGAGGAGTCCCTCGGCCCAGAGAGGGAGGAGGATTGGGAGGATGTCTTCCCAGGGGGGTACGGGGAGAGTGCCGGCCGGGATCGAGGAGGAGGGGGAGACAATGAGGAGACCGAGGGCCGTTTCCGTCATTCCGTTGCGAGCGGGTAACCTGACTCCACATGGCTGTGAGGGAATGAGGAGGAGATGACACTTACAGAGTTATACAAAACAGTCACGACTGTCCAAATATTGACCAAAACTCTATCCAATACTCATCAATCTGATCCCTGATTGACGAGAGTGAAGAGAGCCAACTTATATATATAGCCATTTTACCAAATAAGACCTATATTATGTATATACACTCCTGGTTTACCTTTCGCTCTCCCTCGCCCTCTACCATGTGAGAGGATCTGTCGTTGGCCACAGAGTGATACACCACAACTTCGTTCTCCTCTCCCCCTCCCCCCCCTCCCCTGACGCAGTCGTGGAGGGAGCAAGCCACACCCCTCCATTTCCCTCACCTCCCACTCTCTCAGTACCACCATGTGATCTGGCCACTTTAGCTGTACCTTGCTATCCACAGTAGGGGGTGGACCTAAATAGACACATGATAGTTATGTATCCTCCAGATAAAGGCACTACTCACTAATACATAAGTCATGACACCTCTGAATATGTCACCCATGTGTCCACACCGTAATAACCTGCTAGCCATTAAAATTAAGTACCCAAGCAATTTACATAGCTTGCACAGAGTGATGACTAGGAAAACACCAGTGCAAGAACTGTAAGTCCAGTTGGGGATAGGTATTATGTGGGAATGAAACTGATCTGAAATCTCATATACTGCTCGGTGTGGCTAGTGGTATTACATACATGTACACCTTGTGGGTGAAGGTCTGGATCAAATGGAGGTAGCCTGCTAGCGATGAAGGAGAGTTTGCGTCTCCTGATCAGCGTCGAGGTCACGCTCTTCAAGACCGAGTCCCCCATTTCCATCAGTCTGTCCCTCACCGGGGCTCCAGGCAGTGGGTTCGTGTCATCTGTAACACCCTTTTGAAGAGGAGGGGGCATTATTTAGGAGTGCACTGGGAGGGGGGCATTATTTAGGAGTGCACTGTATTTTGCAGGGAGGGGGGCATTATTTAGGGGTGCACTGTATTTCATGTTCACAAGGTGATGCGTACATACATAAAACCTGAGTCAACTGAAGTGGAAGACCTTCTCTAAAGTCGAGTCGTGTAGACATGAGCTGCTCGAGGCCGTAGCTGAATGCATCGGCCAACAGGTCGCTCCCACGTACTGTATAGACAATAATACACTCCTGGTCAATCCACGGATGGGTCGACCCAATTTGTGAGCGGGACTCACTGCTGCTGGAAGGTGCTGATGGTGATGTGTGTGGAGTGAGGGGTTGAGGATGGTGTGGACGCCTGGTGGATTGTTCCTCTGGGGAAATAGAGTACATCTCCCACCTGACAGGGAGAAGAAAGAGAGGGAGAGAGGCTCAGCTTGTCTCAAAACAGAGAAATTTGCTGATTTTATGAGCGACAGAGAGAGAGAGAAAGAGGGAGGAATTGCATGCAAAAGTTGGTGAAAGGAGAAGAGAGATGGAAATGACCAACATGGAGGGTTATTTCGTGAGAAGGTCTCCCAATCTCAGTGGGTTGAAGGTCACGACTCGACGATCGAGGAAGAGGATGGGTCGGACGGTACAGTTTCCATTTCTTGCAGCCCTCTAATTGGATGATGAGAAACCTGACACGGGGGAGAGAGGGTTAAAACTCTTTCTGCTCTTAGCGCTATTGTATATGTACCTAGGCTAGTCGTAGGAGCATTAGTTGTAAAAGACAAAGGTCCATGATTCATACCATAGAATGCCAACTTCTTTGTTCAGAAAAAAACTAAGGTTGCAAGTTTTAAATTGTTAGTTAATCATAGGACACTATCAGCGAATCTTTGAAGCCCCGCCCACCTCGACGTCATCATAATGAGGTGCGAGCCCCTGTGATCCACTGGGTGTGATGTAGACATTGGAGCCCACCAGACAGTTGAAGTAGGACTCCAGGAGGGACAGCACCTGCCACAGCTTATCCTGGGGGTGGGGCCAATATCATCATGGTATAATAATAATAGGGGGAAGAGAGAGGCCAATATGTCAGTAGGGGGGTATCTGTAAAATGGCATGTGTTTATACACCTGCAGCACCTGGAAAATATGCACAGGTTTTCTCCTCGTAATTTCCACACAGGTTCAGTAGGCATAATTATACACACAATAGTAAGGGGAAGAAACCACATTGTTTTTCAGATTGTGTGAACATCTTGCAGTGAAAAACCTCATGTTTAGTGTCGCACCCTAGGGGTTCGCGTCCCCTGCCTCCCTCTCTCACCTGGAAATGCTGAGGCTGCAAAAACTGAACGGTGGCCTTCTTTTCAGTCCACAGTTGTTCCAGCTGCTCAGTCGTCAACTGTTCCCCAGGAACACCATACGACCGTCTCCTCCCACTCCTGTACCGACTGACGTTGACATGGCGACCAAACAACAGTGGTCCCCGACTGGCGCACCAGCTGTCGGAGGGTTTCCAAGGTGAAGAGGGGGATATTTCCCCCGCCCCTTGTAATTAACAGGGGCTTCTTTTCCCAGTAGTCGCGGAAAAACTCGTCCTCGATGACGGGGTCAATGAGGCTTTTGAAGAGGTTCCGGGGGCTGGACAAATTTAGTTCCAGCGGGGTCTCGCACACTATTCCCGCGGTGATGGTCACGTGAGTTGGATTCAGAAAGCGGCGAGCGACGCATCTCCTCCGAACGAGCTTCGCACGCCTTGCCAGCCAAATCCTGTGCCTCCTTGCCTTCTTCGGCATGATTCTGCCCACGTGGGTTCAGTAAACTAAAAACACGCGAGTAGTTTACGGAAACACTACGATTACGTCATGATCGCGGCCCCGGGGATTTACCGCGCCAATGGTCACTCTAATAAACGCCCACCACAGCAAACTCGTTTTTTTGAGTGGAGAAATGGAGGAAGAAGAGTCGTCGGAGCTCTCGAGCAGCAGTAGTAGCTACAGCACCAGCGAGGAGGAGAGCGTCGGGGAGGAAGAGGATGAGGACAGCGAGGAGTTGGCCGGGCCCAGGGGCGCCGAGCGAAGCGGCGAGAAGAGCGAGAGGAGGAAACGGCGGCGAAAACTTGCCGGTCGGCGGAGAGAGCTCAGGAGCAAGTACGAGTCGGTGAAAGACTTTAACCCTGAGGCTCGCTCGGCGCAGACGGAGGAGATAGAGAGAATACGACGCTTGGAGTTACAGAGAAGCCTACAAGGCGGGGCGCCTAGTGTCGTAGCGCCACCGGTTGATGGACAGGGAGAGCTAACTAGCCTTCTTGGGAGCGGGCCCGTGTTTCGTAACTTGGCAGAGGATGAAGAAGAGAGAGAGAGGGTGGTGGACGCGATTGTCATTAGTTCGGATTCGGAAGAAGAGGAGCGGGAGAGGGTGAGGAGGGAGGGAGGAAGGGAAGTGAAGACGGAAGTGGTGGAAGGTGTGAAGGAAGAGAAGGGAGGGAGGTACGATGTGGTGGGGGAGGAGCGGGACGATCAGGTGGTAATCAACTTGGGGCACCCTCCTGACGAGGAAGACGTGACACTGCCTCCTCAGATTTCACGGATTATCAAACCTCACCAGGTAAAGATAAAAGATAAAGAAAGAGATGAGAGAGTGTTTCTGTGGCAAGAGCGCATGATTAATCACATGCGAAAGATCGGAGCCTTCTATCGATTAAGATAATGAAAGTTGAGTGGGAGAGGAGGAAAGACTGTTTATGTGGTAATGTGGTTTGGAACAGAGCGAAATGTACTGTGCACCATAGCTGAAAATTATTTTTGTAATAGAGGGGGAGTGAGAGGGAAAGTTGTAAAGTAACAGGAGGAAAGAGTGGGACCTATATACATACAATAGCCAACAAGCCCGAAACAGAGCTGTCCAGAGCTCGCATCTTTTTTTCTCTTGGCATCACGTGGTCTAATACCTTCATAGGATTAGAGAAGACAGCGGGACAAAGCATAGGGACATTGTACGTGTCAGTACAGTATTTTGCGTGTATGTATCTCTCCCTCTGTAGGTGGGTGGTGTCCGGTTCCTGTACGACAACCTCATAGAGAGTCTGTCCCGATTCCATACCAGCACGGGGTTCGGCTGTATCCTGGCTCATTCCATGGGGCTGGGGAAGACCCTGCAAGTCATCGCGTTTATCGACATCTTCTTCCGTTACACTCCGGCCCGCCAAGTCCTGTGTGTTGTTCCAGTTAACACACTTCAGGTAGTATATTAGTACACTGGAACCTCTGAATAAAGGACATTGAAAGCTTTCTATTAATTAGAGACGTCAGAGGTCCCTTATTTGGAGGAAATATTAAAATTAATGTGGGGGCAGAACCAAGTGTCCTTCATGGAGTGTGTTCTTTGTTCAGAGGTTCCTTATTTGGTGATTTCACTGTCTGTTCAACTAATGCTGCATGTAGCGGAGCTGCAGAGTAATCGGACCATGTGTACACCTATCCCCTAATGCACAGAACTGGGTGGTGGAGTTTGACAAGTGGCTGCCAGACAGAGAGCAAGAGGAGATGAAGAAGAAGGCTGGGACAGCTTCCACTTCTGGACACAACAAATCCTCTCGAAGCAAGAACAAGAAGTCGGCTCTCCAGAACGGTCGGTCGTCAAAGATGGTTGACAGTCATCTCCAACCTCCCTCGTCCTCCTCGCTCTACCCTGCCCCTAGCAACGGCCTCCTGGCAACAAACAGTGCCGTTTCCATGCCGACTTCGGGAGAAAACAACAGCTTGTTTGTGGGGGGTGAGGTTTTGACGGAATCGGACCAGCAACTTTTGCTGAGTGTCATGTCGTCTACAGACACTAGCTCTGCCCACTCTTCAGGAAGCCAAGTTCAGACCACACCTACTCTACTCGGTGGTGTGTCGGGGTCGCGACCCCACACCCCGAATCCCGGGATTGCGAACTCTCGTTCCCATACGGCCAGTCCGAGTACACCAGATGTTCAGTACCGGAGTTTCAGACTGTTTGTTCTGTCTGAGACCAGCCGCAGTATGGAGGCGAGAGTGCGGCTTATCAAACAGTGGAGGGAGGAAGGTAACGAGTTAGTACTTTACCGCCTGAAAATTTGCCGAACGTTTAGAGGGTTTGGTTGACATGCTGCTGTGGCGAAAGTTTGAATGGCTTGTGTTAGTTTTCCAGGAAAGCTACTATTGTGTTCGGAGAATTCTTTGACTCAGGAAGTGTAGATACAGTGTCCGTTTCACTTGTATATATACTCGAGCTTTCTGAATGACAGCAGGTTTTGTATATAATTTCCCCTAAGAATTGCACATTGACAGCATTGTAGCTGTCATGACTTTTTGTGTATGTATAATTATAGATGCTTGATTTCCCCTAACATAACAATTGCACATTGACAACATTAACAAAAGCTGCAACCTCACTTTTTGTGTCTTCCCTGTTCCCCCTCTTGGCCCCCCTTCTCTCTTCCCCTCCTTCTCTCCAATAGGTGGAGTGTTGTTGATAGGCTACGAGATGTACCGACTACTCTCCCTCTCCGTCCCCTCACTCGGAGGAAACAAAATGGCCGTCAAGCGCAGGAAGACGGCGAAATCCAGCAACCAGCAGAGCAACTCATTTGTCGATTTGGAAGAGAATGAGAGAGAAATGGAGAAACTGATGGGTGGGTGACGGGTGCATTCACTCGCCATAAATACGCTGCTTTTTTTGGCGACCAAGACGAGCCCTCCTAGTTGTCTGCATGCAGACTTTTTCAGTACATGTACATGTACGACGGACACTGCCACATACCGTATATTGTACATGCATGATTCTAATTACGCGTGAACCGCACGAGAAATCGAACTCTAGTATTCTCGCGATATGCGTACGTACGTGTCGGTCACGCTTAAGAATGTCAATTAGTCACGCTTAGGAATGTCAACTTCCGTCATTCGTAGGAAGTTTAGCTTCCGCCGTGCACGCAGATTCGTAGGAAGTCTGGCTTTGCGCGCAGTCAGTAGAGCGCGCGCACGAGCGGCCTCAGTCGGACTGTTTACGCATTGGCTGGCAGGCGCGAGGCAAAATATGCGCGAGCGCATTCCTAGTACGTATACTAATAGTGTGTACTGACTTGGCCTCTAATGTTGTAGTCAATATTACGTGTGTCCATGTACTGTACCTACACACTCACATATGATGTAGAGATCCAGAGAGCTCTGTGTGTTCCTGGGCCCGACCTGATTGTCTGCGACGAGGGACACCGCATCAAGAACAGCTACACCGACATCTCCCAGGCCCTCAAGAAAATCAGAACAAGGTCTCAGACTGTACATTAATTATACAACTTGCCAAGCATTTTATGTACGTACATATAGTTGGGAATCTACGTTGATTATTGCAACCTTCTATTTGTTCTAAAACAGCTCTTGTAAACTCTATGTTACAAAACCTAGGCATATAGTCTCGGTTCAATTGGTCTTGGTCTAACGCATTGGTTAAGCCTTTACCATCTTGTCTATCTCCTTATCTTTCTCCATTTCTCCATTTCTCCCTCCTTTTCTTACTTCACTACCTCTCGGTACACCCCCCCCTCTCTCTCTCTCCCATCCTTTTCTCTCCCTCCCCCAATGCCTTAATCGTGCAGACGAAGGGTTGTACTGACCGGCTACCCGCTCCAAAACAATCTATTGGAATACTGGTGTATGGTCGACTTCGTACGTCCCAAGTACCTCGGCACAAAACAGGAGTTTAGCGATCTCTTCGAGCGACCGATTACAAACGGACAATGCGTTGACAGCACTGCACAGGTAAGGCTTGTAGGGAACCTTTATACATATTCTAGTGATGCCTTTAATTAGGACGCATCTAGTCAGAATATATGCGACCTAATCAGAACACCTTTAATCAGGACAGATTAAGTCAGGACACCTTTATTTAGTACGCTATGTCTGAATGACCCTGATCAGGACACCATAATTAGTGCAACAGCAGATCAGAACACATTAACACCTGTAGCTGGGTCGTCTTTCATCAGGACACGTTGTGCGTGCGTGCAACAGATCAGGATTATGTTCCTATTTCAGGACGTGCGGACTATGAGGTATCGATCACATGTACTGCACACTCTCCTCAAAGGTTTTGTACTGCGGTGAGTTACTGTATATACATCCACACAAGTTTTATAACACACAGACCCTCCGTCTGCGTAATTTGGCATGACTTCCCGCCTGTGCGCGCTTTTACTAGCATCATTTTACACGTTGACTGGCACGCCCAACTCTGTTTTCTGTCAATAGTCACACATGTATGGTATTTCCTTCTTCCTCTCTTCCTATTGGTTCCTCAGAGGGTTTTTTCCTGATGTTTCACTGCATAATAAACATTTCTCTCTCCCTTTCTTCCGCTGCCGCCCCCCGCCCCGCCCCTCCTCCGAATCAGTCGAGGTCACGACATTCTCAAGAACGCTCTGCCGATGAAATTTGAGCACGTCCTCCTCGTCCGTCCTTCCCCCGTACAAGCAGCTCTGTATGACTACAACATGAACAATCTACAGCAGGGGGGAACCTCTACTACTGCTGGCCCTCTCAAGGGCTTTGCCGTCTGTACCAAGGTCAGAGGGTAGCTTTTGCAATCCCGTCCTGATTACATAACCACTAAAAAAATGTTTGTCTTTTCTCTTTCCCTTTCTTTATGAAATGCCCAAATTAAAGGTGACTCTATGAGATTTCCAATGTGCTATTACACAGAATATGGATCCTTCCCTTTGTGTTTTTTATATTCCTTCCCTTTTGCTTTATAGTATTTTCTTGCCAAGTGTTGTGTTAATGTTTGGGTCTGTAGATGTTTTCATTCCCATTCCCCAGATCTGGAACCATCCGGACATCTACTACAACGAGGCCATGAAGTTGCCAGACGCCAAGAAGAGCTGTGCGGTACGTCCCACACTCAACTCACCGGTTTCTTCTTTCCAGGGGATGAATCTTCCCTCTCCCCCCAATCGTTTTAACTCCTGAACGTAGCTTCAACCACACAGTGTTGTTTAGTAAACACTAGCTCAGTGTGAACTAGTACTTTGGACTATACAATTATTTTATCCACTCCTCTCTATCTTCCATCTCCTTCTCCTTCCCTCCCTCTCCCTTCTCCCTCCCTCCCTCTCCCTCCTCCTTCCCTCCCTCTCCCTTCTCCTTCTCCCCCCCTCTCTTCTCCTTCCCTTCCCTCTCCCTTCTCCTTCTCCCCACCTCCCCCACCAGACAAGCTGGCAGGAGGAGGTGGGCCTACCAAAGAACCTACTGCCCAAAGGAGAGACAAACAAGTTGGAATGGGTGAGTTGTATTGTACTGAGTTTTATCACACGAACTCCTCACACGTGTACTCACAGCCAAATGAAGCCCTAGCAATGCTCCCACCCTACCAAACTGGTCGCCTTGACAACAGCCCCAAGATGGTGGTTGCCATGGAGATCCTAGACCGCTCGGTCCAAATGGGAGACAAACTCCTCATTTTCAGGTATAATCCTCAATTAACCCCTGAAATGAAGAGGCTCACGAGTTTTATTCCCACAGTCAGTCCCTCCTGGCTCTGTCGTACATCGAGAGCTTGCTGGTGCGGCGTCCCATTCCCATTCCCCATTCCGCCGGTCCTTCGGGCGAGGTCCAGTACTCCGGTACCATGTGGAGCAAGAACGTCAACTTTTGCAGTGAGTTTGAAAAATTTCGAAATTCGCTGACGTTTTCCCCTTCAATGATTGTCTACTAGGCTATGTATCAGGGAACTTGCATTTTGTAGTCAAAACAGCCTAGCAATGTGCAATGACATCAAAGTGTATATAATTATACACCTACGATGGTCGTCTGACAAAACATTAGGTTTTTGCCTCCTGCAAGTAGCAGTAGCTTCCATAGAAGTGTGGGTGTTGGGTGGTCGTGACATCCTGCGTCTGTCTGTGTAGGATATAGTTAGTTGGCCATGGAAACACTCTCTCCGTGTGTGTGTGTGTGTGTGTGGAGATAGGTTTAACATAGAGTAAAGTGGAACTTCACTATTCCAACCAGACGCTTGATTAGTGAGCTGGCTGAAGTTAAGGTTTTAGCTTTAATAGGTGGCTGAATTTGGATTTTAGCGAGCTTCTGCATTACACACACACTGTCATTACGCGTATAATGACAGTGTGTGTGTGTATGTGTGTAAATGTACAGTTAAGAATTTGATTTCATGTGTGTGTGTGTGTGTGTGTGTGTGTGTCAGGGTTGGACGGCAGTACAAGCAGTGCAGACAGAGACAGACTCATAACTGCTTTCAACTCTCCTGCCAACTCTGAGATGTGGGTCTTTCTCCTGTCCACCAAGTAAGGCTGTAGTAACAGTGGGTTGTACCTCACCTACTGTGCAACAACTACTCGAGAATGGTGTGCTTGTTTTCAAGCTAACAATGCTCACAGTATTTTTGATGGTTTTAGCGTGCTATTTCCCAAGCTACTAACCACGCTAACTGAACCGTTTCCACAGGCGGTTGCTTTTAAGTGATTCCCAAAGTTGTCACAAAAGTTGGGGTAAGTACAGTATATCTCTCCCTCTCCTCTACACAGAGCTGGATGTCTGGGTATTAACCTGATAGGAGCCAACAGAGTCATTGTATTGGACGTCTCATGGAACCCCTGCTACGATGCTCAGGCAGTCTGCAGGTGTCCTTACATACTTAATACATGCAGATGTACATGAAAACTAAACAGCTCAAGCTTTCACATGTAGAAAGTAGAAAACAGAGAGAGAGAGAGAGAGAGAGTGTGTGTGTTTGTGTGTGTTTGTGCGTGGGCTGCCAGAAGTGTAATGTGTTGGTGTATGTTTGGTGTCAGGGTGTACCGGTACGGTCAGACGAAAACCGTGCCACATCTACCGACTGGTGTGCGACGGGACCATGGAGAGAAAGATCTACGACCGACAGATCTCCAAACAGGGAATGGCAGGTTTGACCAGTTTTCTCTTCCTGTTGGACCAGTTCTCTTCTGGTAAACCCTCGGTGTGCATGTGCATGGCAGCAGCGGTTACTAAAGCTGCCGTGTGGCAGATCAACATAGTGTTTAGGATGTGTTTCTGAAGATTATGCACACTGAAGCTATAGTGAAATTACACGTGATAGTTGGTTCGTGTGTCCTCCCCTCCACTTGCTCGCTAAAAGTACGAAAAGTTTAGGCCACCCTATTCTTTCACTGCACACTCCAGCTATAGTCAAGGAATTCAGGATGGTTAGTTGGCTTGTCCTTCGCCCCACTTGCTCACTAAAGTACGAAAGGTTTAGGCCACCCTACTCTTCCACTGCACACTCCAGCTATAGTCAAGGTATTCGGGATGGTTAGTGGCCGGTCCTCACTTGCTCACTAAAGTACGAAAGGTTTAGGCCACCCTACTCTTCCACTGCACACTCCAGCTATAGTCAAGGTATTCAGATGGTTAGTTGGCGTGTCCTCCCCCCCCACTTGCTCACTAAAGTACGAAAGGTTTAGGCCACCCTACTCTTCCACTGCACACTCCAGCTATAGTCAAGGTATTCAGGATGGTTAGTTGGCCTGTCCTTCCCTCCACTTGCTCGCTAAAAGTACGAAAAGTTTAGGCCATCCTATTCTTTCACTGCACACTCCAGCTATAGTCGAGGTATTCAGGATGGTTAGTTGGCCTGTCCTTCCCTCCACTTGCTCGCTAAAAGTACGAAAAGTTTAGGCCACCCTATTCTTTCACTGCACACTCCAGCTATAGTAAAGGCATTCAGGATGGTTAGTTGGCCTGTCCTTCTCTCCACTTGCTCGCTAAAAGTACGAACAGTTTAGGCCACCCTATTCTTTCACTGCACACTCCAGCTATAGTCAAGGCATTCAGGATGGTTAGTTGGCATGTCCTTCCCTCCACTTGCTCGCTAAAAGTACGAAAAGTTTAGGCCACCCAATTCCCAAGAATCAAATTAAACTGCAATGTTATTTGCACTGCACACTCAGTCAGTCCAGGTATTCATGGTGGTTGGCTGGCCTCCCACTTGCTTGCTAAAAGAAAAGTGTAGGCTACGCTTATTTCTAACTGTACACATCATTCTCCCCCCTCTCTCCCTCTCTCTCTTCACACACACAGACAGGGTAGTGGATGAGTTACAACCCGAGAGGCATTTCACGGCTGACGAAATCATAACCCTGATGAGACCGCTGGCTTCTCTTCCTCCTCCACAGAACATGGCCCTCGATGCCGTCCACTTTACGTTTGACCAAGTCCTCTTTATTCTTTGCCAGCACTTCGGTCCACTCCTAACCAAGGTTTGCTTTTCCAACCGTCCGTCAATTCTGCCGATGTTATATAGCCAACTTAATGGTGATGAGGGCTAAATATAGAAATGTTACTAAATATGGACTAAACATTGGCAAGAATGCCGGTTTAGGTAACAGTTTCTTAATTTAGCCCTTCTATACTGCCATGTTCCCTTCAATGGTCGCCGTTTTATCCAGTCCCAGAGCATTAGTCTGTTCGTCTCTCTGTCTCTCTCTCCAAAGATGCCGTTCAGACACGAGTCGCTGCTGTTGGACTCTGCCCACGAGAAAATGACGGAGGTGGAAAAGATGTTTGCCATGAGGGGTTTCCAGCAAGACTGGAACGCTCGCAAACGCAACAACGTCCCTCAGCAGGCTCCTGTCGTAGTGCATCCTGTCGTAGTGCATCCTGTTAAATCGCAGTGAGTGGAATAACTTAGAAAAAGCATTGTTTTTTCTCCAGGCCTACAATCTAACACTGAATTTGTAACGATTTTCTTTCTCTTGTAGGCCACTTCAACAACCTCGTCAACTGGGGTCTCCCTTGACCACGCCCCCTCTGTCACACCCCTCTTTGACCACACCTCCTCAGCCACACCCACCCACTTCTCTCTCAATTTCGCCGTATTCCAACACACGAGTCAGCCTCCCTTCCACATCATCAATCACACCTTCCAGCCACGCTGCCCAACTACATTCCCATTCCACACTCCAGTACAGTCACAGTCCCGTTCCATCCTCTGGTATAGAAATGGGGTACGGAAATGCGGCAGTTTCAAACGACATCATATGGTTGGACTCTGACGGTGAATATGATTGGGCGCAACCTCCTCCTAGTGACGCAGCAATCCCCAACAGTAGCAGCAGTCACACTGCTCAAGCTACCCTATTGCCCGGACCAAAGGTCCTCACTGTCCCTATCTCTTCCTCTCTTAACCCCGCTCACCCGGGTCCTGGAGGCTCCACTGGCCATGCCACCCAGGGAGGCTTCGCGACTAGGGGTGTGTTTGACGCCGCTCTCTCGCAGCTGACCGAGGTTCTCAGACAGAGGGAGGTAGCGGGTGGAGAAAGAAACACAAACGAAACTCCTTCGTTCTTTTCTTCCTCCAATTCCGGTCCAGCTACTGGTCCGATTCCGGTACCACAGGCGGGCGGTATGGGAATGAGACCTCAGACTAGCCACACTCCAGGGTTGAATCCCGTATATTTTCATGCTGATCCTGGGCAGCACTTAACTGCACATCATTCTGGGCAACCTCCTCCGTATTCGGGGCAACCCGCAATGTATTTGGGTCAGAGTGGCCCAAATTCGTATGATACCAATCGTCAGTTCACTACCATTCCTCGCTCCCAGCCCTCTTCAGACTCAGCAGCTTCAACCAGTCGTCTTCAACTCAGCCCCACGTTTACTTCCCTCCTAAACACGACGACCAACAATAACGTTGCTCCTTCTCCAGTCCAGCAGTACTCTGATCTTCCTCTACCTTCCTCTTCTCTTCCCGATCATGCCACCCAAGCTCTTTCCATCTTGGCTTCAGCTGCGTTGAGGGATCAGGCAAGAACACTACACCAACCAGCCCCCACACAAACAACGTCATCTGCACTGCAACACAGTAGGCCTCCCGAGGCAGCTGCGTCGCAATCGGTCTTGGATATGATGGGGTCTCCCCCTCATCCGTTGTTCAGTCCACCCAAGTTGCCGCTGCACAGAGAAACTGGGGTCTCCATTGATTCGTGTGTCACTCGATCCCCGGCTGCCGTTCAAACTGTTTTTAACTCTCAACCGCCGTTTTCTTCTCCGCCTCACTCTGTCCAAGCAGGCCCCTCTCCGCCCTCTGCTTCTCCCTTTCCTTGCTCCACACCCTCTCCACTTTCCCAACCTCCCACCCCCTCCACCTCCATTCCCCTGCTCTCCCCAGTTGCTGCTCACCTCTTCCAGGTCTCCATGAGCAAGTCCCCCAAACCCACCCCCTCTCCAAGCCACACCCCCTCCCCCTCCCCCTCGTCCAACCCTCACCCTCCTCTGTCAAGTCCACCCTCCGTTCCCTTGGCAACACCGCCAGCATTGGCTAAGAACAGACCCACACCTCTGCTCACCTAGCAACATCCCAATTCCGGTCTCCATAGCAACACTCTTGATTCATCTGGTTCTCGTGGTAACTCATGACCCTAATTGATAGTTTTGCACAATTGTACATTCAACAACACTTATGAAGCACCTACATTTTATTTATTCATCTTGTTCACATGTAAAAAAGATGCTCAGTAAATCTATCTGTGGATAGTTAAAATGTTGAGGTAGCTATGCCAAAGAAAAAGCGAATGGAGATATCGGGGTTCGAACCCGAGGCCTCTCGCATGCAAAGCGAGCGCTCTACCACTGAGCTATATCCCCTTCCGTGTGCCGAGCCCAGCGAGAAATGTCGCTTTTATGTGTAAATTCGCGCGCGCGCGCGCGCGTTAGTAGGCGCACGTGATTAACGTGTTGCCGTGGAAACCGTTTATCGGAAAAAGAAGGGTGTGTCTGCTCGCCAGCTTCATTGCGCAGCTCTCTCGCAAGGCCATCTCCGAAAAGATAAAATGGGGTGCGGCAGTTCCACGCCGGCCTCTGCTCCGCAGTCCCAGCAAACCCCAGCACCCGCCGCAGGTAAGTAGTACTCACTACGAAAGAGACTTGTATGCGCAAATTGGATCTAAATCCGCACTCATATTATTTTGCAGGTCGTTCACCAGGTGAGCCAGCCACTAACCAGCAGCAGTCACAACAGTCTGAAAGGTAGATACCTAGCTATGCACAGTGTCTTGCAATTGCAGGTACAAATTTTAGCATTGAACGTCTTTCTTGTACAGACCTGAGTTTGATGCGCTTGACAACTACCCAGACCTCTCCAAGCACAGTAACCACATGGCCAAACACCTTACAAAGGAGATGTACAAAAAGCTGGCTCCCCTTACAACACCCAAGGGCTTCACACTCGACCGAGCCATTCAGACGGGTGTTGATAACCCGGGGCACCCCTTCATCATGACGGTAGGTCTCGTTGCTGGAGATGAAGAGTCGTACGAAACATTCTCGGACCTTTTTGACCCTGTCATCGAGTCTCGTCACAAGGGGTTCAAGAAGACCGACTCGCACAAGACCGACCTCTCAGCTGAAAAACTGGTAGGTGGTGACAACTTGGATCCCAAGTATGTCCTCTCTTCACGAGTCCGAACTGGGAGAAGCATTCGTGGGTTCTGCCTTCCACCATTCTGCTCCCGAGCAGAGAGGAGATGCATTAGAGATATCGTCACTCATGCCTTGGAATCATTCGAGGGTGAGTTCCAAGGAAAGTACTATCCCCTTGGTGGAATGAGCGAGGAAGAGCAACAACAGCTGATAGACGACCACTTCCTCTTCGACAAGCCCGTCTCTCCTCTCCTGCTTGCCTCTTGCATGGCTCGAGACTGGCCTGACGCCCGCGGGATCTGGCACAATCAGGACAAGAACTTCCTGGTCTGGGTCAACGAAGAGGACCACACTCGAGTCATCTCCATGCAGAAGGGGGGAAACATGCGAGAGGTCTTCACTAGATTCTGCAACGGCTTGGCCAAGTTCGAGGGGGCCATCAAGAAGGAAGAGAGGGAGTTCATGTGGAACGAGCACCTCGGCTTCATCCTCACCTGCCCCTCAAACCTCGGCACAGGGCTCCGCGCAGGGGTGCACCTCAAGATCCCACTTGCTAGCAAGCTCCCATTCTTCAAAGCAATCATACAGGAGCTCTCCCTCCAAACGAGGGGAGTTGGGGGAGTCGACACCGCACCTGTTGACGGCATCTTCGACATCTCCAACTCAGACCGATTGGGTTTCTCGGAGGTCGAGCTAGTTCAGAAGGTGGTCGATGGCGTGGAGAAACTGATCGCAATCGAAAAGTGCCTTGAACTAAACGCCATTATCTTTCCCTTGCTTCCGCCAAAAGTGCAAACCTCAGTTGCAGTGCTGGAAGATTACCCTGATCTCTCCAAGCACAACAACCACATGGCTAGGTGCCTCACGCCACAAATCTTTGCCAAGCTGGCTCCCCTGAGCACTCCGAATGGATTCACTCTCAACAAGGCCATCCAGACAGGGGTGGACAACCCCGGACACCCCTTCATCATGACAGTGGGTATGGTAGCCGGAGACGAGGAATCCTACGACACTTTCGCTGAGCTCTTCGACCCTGTCATCGACGCTCGTCACGGAGGGTACAAGAGAAACGACAAACACAAAACCGACTTGGACCCAAGTCACTTGAAAGGCGGCGAAGACCTCGATCCAAAGTACGTACTTTCGTCTCGAGTTCGTACGGGAAAAAGCATCCGAGGGCTTAGCTTGCCTCCGTCCTGCACGAGAGCCGAAAGAAGAGAAGTTGAGAGGGTCACAACCACTGCTCTGGGCAGCTTTGACGGAGGGTTCCAGGGGAAGTACTACCCTCTCAACGGAATGACCGAGGTAGAGCAGCAGCAGTTGATAGACGACCACTTCCTCTTCGACAAGCCCGTCTCTCCTCTCCTGCTTGCCTCTCGCATGGCTCGAGACTGGCCTGACGCCCGCGGGATCTGGCACAATCAGGACAAGAACTTCCTGGTCTGGGTCAACGAAGAGGACCACACTCGAGTTATCTCCATGCAGAAGGGGGGAAACATGCGAGAGGTCTTCACTCGATTCTGTGACGGATTGGCCAAGTTCGAGGTGGCCATCAAGAAGGAAGAGAGGGAGTTCATGTGGAACGAGCACCTCGGCTTCATCCTCACCTGCCCCTCAAACCTCGGCACAGGGCTCCGCGCAGGGGTGCACCTCAAGATCCCACTTCTCAGCAAACACGGCAAGTTTGGTTCCATCCTGAAGAGCCTTCGTCTCCAGAAACGAGGTACGGGAGGAGTGGACACTGAATCCACCGACGGCACCTTTGACATCTCCAACTCTGACCGACTCGGCTTCTCAGAGGTGGAGCTGGTGCAGAAAGTTATCGACGGTGTCAAGCTTATGATCGAGATGGAAAAAACCCTCGAGACAGGGCTCCTGATCAACAATCTCATCCCAGATGAAAACGGAGAAACGAGGCACCCTGACTACCCCGATCTCTCCAAGCACAACAACCACATGGCTAGATGCCTCACGCCACAAATCTTTGCCAAGCTGGCTCCCCTGAGCACTCCGAATGGATTCACTCTCAACAAGGCCATCCAGACTGGGGTGGACAACCCCGGACACCCCTTCATCATGACAGTGGGTATGGTAGCCGGAGACGAGGAGTCCTACGACACTTTCGCTGAGCTCTTCGACCCTGTCATCGACGCTCGTCACGGAGGGTACAAGAAAGACAACAAACACAAAACCGACTTGGACCCAAGTCACTTGAAATGCGGCGAAGACCTCGATCCAAAGTACGTACTTTCGTCTCGAGTTCGTACGGGAAGAAGCATCCGAGGGCTTAGCTTGCCTCCGTCATGCACGAGAGCCGAAAGAAGAGAAGTTGAGAGGATCTCAACCACTGCTCTGGGCAGCTTTGACGGAGGGTTCCAGGGGAAGTACTACCCTCTCAACGGAATGACCGAGGAACAGCAACAGCAGTTGATAGACGACCACTTCCTCTTCGACAAGCCTGTCTCTCCTCTCCTGCTTGCCTCTCGCATGGCTCGAGACTGGCCTGATGCCCGCGGGATCTGGCACAATCAGGACAAGAACTTCCTGGTCTGGGTCAACGAAGAGGACCACACTCGAGTCATCTCCATGCAGAAGGGGGGAAACATGCGAGAGGTCTTCACTAGATTCTGTGACGGCTTGGCCAAGTTCGAGGCGGCCATCAAAAAGGAAGAGAGGGAGTTCATGTGGAACGAGCACCTCGGCTTCATCCTCACCTGCCCCTCAAACCTCGGCACAGGGCTCCGCGCAGGGGTGCACCTCAAGATCCCACTTCTCAGCAAACACGGCAAGTTTGGTGCCATCCTGAAGAGCTTATGTCTACAGAAACGAGGTACGGGAGGTGTGGACACTGAATCCACCGACGGCACCTTTGACATCTCCAACTCTGACCGACTCGGCTTCTCAGAGGTGGAGCTAGTGCAGAAAGTTATCGACGGTGTCAAGCTGATGATCAAGATGGAAAAAACCCTCGAGACAGGGCTCGTGATCGACAATCTCATCCCAGATGAAAACGGAGAAACGAGGCACCCCGATTACCCCGATCTCTCCAAGCACAACAACCACATGGCTAGGTGCCTCACGCCACAAATCTTTGCCAAGCTGGCTCCCCTGAGCACCCCGAATGGGTTCACTCTCAACAAGGCCATCCAGACAGGGGTGGACAACCCCGGACACCCCTTCATCATGACAGTGGGTATGGTAGCCGGAGACGAGGAGTCCTACGACACTTTCGCTGAGCTCTTCGACCCTGTCATCGACGCTCGTCACGGAGGGTACAAGAAAGACAACAAACACAAAACCGACTTGGACCCAAGTCACTTGAAATGCGGCGAAGACCTCGATCCAAAGTACGTACTTTCGTCTCGAGTTCGTACGGGAAAAAGCATCCGAGGGCTTAGCTTGCCTCCGTCCTGCACGAGAGCCGAAAGAAGAGAAGTTGAGAGGGTCACAACCACTGCTCTGGGCAGCTTTGACGGAGGGTTCCAGGGGAAGTACTACCCTCTCAACGGAATGACCGAGGAACAGCAACAGCAGTTGATAGACGACCACTTCCTCTTCGACAAGCCTGTCTCTCCTCTCCTGCTTGCCTCTCGCATGGCTCGAGACTGGCCTGACGCCCGCGGGATCTGGCACAATCAGGACAAGAACTTCCTGGTCTGGGTCAACGAAGAGGACCACACTCGAGTTATCTCCATGCAGAAGGGGGGAAACATGCGAGAGGTCTTCACTCGATTCTGTGACGGATTGGCCAAGTTCGAGGTGGCCATCAAGAAGGAAGAGAGGGAGTTCATGTGGAACGAGCACCTCGGCTTCATCCTCACCTGCCCCTCAAACCTCGGCACAGGGCTCCGCGCAGGGGTGCACCTCAAGATCCCACTTCTCAGCAAACACGGCAAGTTTGGTTCCATCCTGAAGAGCCTTCGTCTCCAGAAACGAGGTACGGGAGGAGTGGACACTGAATCCACCGACGGCACCTTTGACATCTCCAACTCTGACCGACTCGGCTTCTCAGAGGTGGAGCTGGTGCAGAAAGTTATCGACGGTGTCAAGCTGATGATTGAGATGGAGAAAGCACTCGAGGAAGGGAAAGGCATAGAAGATCTAATACCAACCGAGTAAAAGCATCAAAAGACTTTCAGAAAACTATAGCTTAGCCATTTACATGACATACACAAAAAACATTACTCTATATATCCAGCCTCATTATCGTGTTTTGTTTTTGTAGGAAAGTTGTTAACATATTATATCATACAGAATTACAGAGTGAACTGTCCTTCTCTCCGATATTTTACACAACCAAATTTGTTGATGGGGCTAAAGTTATTACAAAACGCTAGTTGTTATCACACAATCACAGTGGATAAATCACATAGTTAGTGTCAAAAACGACTATGACCACGCCTTGCCTTCCAATTGATGTACCAGCTGGTGTCGATTATAAGCCACCAAATATTGACTGCAAAAAGCAACTGCATCAGGAATCCAAACACCTGTCAAGATCCAAAAGATTAACCAGCCATTACATCATCTCTAAATAACCTTACCACTGCAATCTGTGCCTGAACGTACTCTCGGTCATTCTCGAAAACCTGGATGATTTCGCTCTCATTCTGTCCTCCGCATTCGGAACTCTCGAGGCTGTTCATGTAATTGTGGAGGACGTCGTCTATTCTGTAGAACGCGACGGCCCAGTCCACAGACGCTATGAACCAGCACAATATCCACACCACGTGTAGTATGATGTCCTGCAGAAATTACACTTCCATGGGTCACTCAACCAAATTGCTGTTTGGTGAAGCAATACTTTTGTTTGCAACATGCACGAATGTGACATACACTACCATCATGTTGCAGCCAGCCATTCATTCGCCAGCCATTCGAAAAAGTACATACAACAACCAATTCTAGTCTGCGATCTTTGTTTTGCACAATACACGCCTATTTTAAATGCACACTAGGGCTGTATAATATATGAGCAAAAACTTACCAGCACCACTGCAATATCAAAGGTTCGCTCAAAGCGCTCGTTTGCCGTCACAAACATGTACACCAACAACGCTATGATGCAGTAGAAGAGGGTAAGGACACCCCAACCGACAAAGAACTCAGCACTTCGGGGTACCCCGCCATCTGGGAATGTCTTTGTGGAGTGCTCAGTCTCATTGGATCGTGTACTCTGGCGTGACTGCTGAATGTGGCGAAATGGATAATCTGCAGTCAGGGTGAAAGTGAAGTTTAAGTCATTATTGCCACATTCGAAATCGACTGCCGTGGACACCATGAAACCGGCCACAAGGGAGAAGGTGATGATGGCTACAAACTGTTGGAAAATGTAGGAAACAAGTCACTAGCAGCAAAACCCAGTACAAAATCATAACATACACCCCGCCCACAGCTAAAGTCACGTGAGCAAGGACGTTTCTTACGAATTCTACGATCTTTAGAAAGCCTTTGGGTTGGAGTGGGGCACGCCAGTGAATTTGCAGACCCATTTTCAGCCCTAGTTTCGGGCTCGGCCCCTCTTCTTGAAGTGAATCACGTGGTGTGCCGCTACGTTTTTGTTCTAATTATAGACAAACCGCACGTCATCGTAAAATTGAACTGTCGCGCGAAGGTAGGTAGGTGTGCATGATGGCGGTGAAGTGGGAGTACCAAGTGGGCCCTCTGACGCTCAACTTCCGCGTTCTGCTGGAGCCCAAAGGATTTCTAAGGATCCTGATGGTGGTGAGCTGTAGCTCTCGGCGACAGGTGGAATGGTGCACGCTCAACCTTTACGCACGGAGCTGTTGTGCCCCACCCTGCTATGTAGAGTTTGGCAAGTCTGCCAGCAGGCCACGTGCCATCATAGTCATTTGAGCCATCTTGCAATATCACTTACGTTTCTTCTCCCTTTCCTTCCCTCCCATCTCTCCTCTCTACCTACCTTCATCTCCTTTCATCCTTTCTCTTCCATCTCCCTCCTTGCTTCCTCCCCTTCTCCTCAGATTATATCAATCCTAACCTTCTCCATTACTGCTGGTTTCACAAACGTCCCAAACAACAACTCCCTCTCGTGCACAACATCTGACAACGTGTCCAGAGAAGTGAGTCTCGAATTCAACTACCCGTTCAGAGCCCAGAACTTCAAAGCAGTGTACATTCCGTTCGACGAGTTCATCGCAAATGTCTCGAGGAACGAGTCTTCTTGCCAACAGACGAGCGGATTCGACACGCGGAGTTTCGCCGGGTTCGCGCAGTATTTCGTGGCGATGGGTGTCCTGTCGTTCCTCTACTGTCTCGGAATTCTGTTCGTCTACATTCTGTTTATTAATCCGCAACTGTCGTTTGCCAAGTGGATCATTCTCTTTGTGAGTCATTTTCGATTTGATCAAAGTCATTTTAAGTGGGTGGGAGATCCCTAATATAGATGGATGTCAAAACAAAACCACCGGTCTTCTATTTGGAAACTTTCTCTTTCCCTTTGAATTTAACCCCATTTCATTTCCCTAATTATGAGCCCACCATTGCTCCTTCCTCCTTTCTCGCTCCCTCCCTCTCTCCTCCCCTCTTGCCCCTCCCTCCCAAGGACTTTGTTGCCAGTTTCCTCTTTGCGTTCCTCTACCTCCTTGCCGACATACTCTGGTCTGCTGGCATCTCTGGCATGGACACCTACGTCGAGACTGAACTGAGACGACGCGGAGACAACTGTCTTCGTTGCCCCGGTAGCATGAACACCGACTCTGGGCTGTTTGCTCAACCAGCTATATCAGTTGTAAGTCCTTCTCTTTCTCTTCATTGAACAAATCATCGTGGAGGTCGTTAAAGAACGTTGTTAGTAGGGCGGAATTTGTACGAAGTAAAATCCCTTTCTTTACTGCTGTGTGTCTATTATGAATTGATATGTTGCGTGTAGGACTCCAGTAAACTGTATACTTTTGTGTTGTATGCTGTTTTGCAAGCTCCTTTGAGCTAAGTTAGAGGAGTGTCATCTGGGCTAACTCATATTTTTTTCAATGAACCTGCAACAAAAATTTCTAAAATGCTGTGTGGTCACATCTGAGCTTCCCCTCTCTCTCCCTGTTCCTTTCTTTCCCCTCCCCTCCCTCTCCTCCCTCCCCTCCCTGCTCCCTCCCCTCCCTCTCTCTCCAGGTGTTTGGCTGGCTGCTGTGTTTCGTGTGGCTGTCGTCCATCTGGTTTGTCTACAAAGACACCCATTGGCACAAGGACAGAGCCGGACCCCTCTCTGAGAACTACAGCCCGAACGAGGGCGGAGCCAACACCGAGGGTCCCGGACCTACACCAGGTTAGCTTAAGGCAAAACATGCACGCTATGTCGAGTTGTTACATGAGACCAAAAAATCTCATGCGATAATGTATGGGCATGATGGTACCGTGCAACAAGTTTAAATAATACTCAGGTGGCTGCCATAGCACTAGGGCCATAGACCACATACCCAGAGCAAGCGACTGGAAATGCTCAAACCCATCATCCCCAAGCTTCCCCTGCAGGGCAATAGAAACACGTTTTTTCATGCAACATGCTGCACAGACCCATACATTTGGTGTGATGGTCATGCGTCAAGTAGAAAACACTTCTGTTTTTTTCATGAAACTTTCGTTCGTTCAGATTATGCTCGTAGTACACGTGTATACATATCGTGTGTGGAGCCTTGTTTTCTGTGGTCGCATGCTTACAGACGTTGGCAAATTAACTCCTTCCTTCTCTCACTCATTCCCGAACTCAAACAAATGGGAGTGAGTGGTTTTGGGTACTTCAGCTCACGTCTTACATAATGTCTGGGAGTGATGATGTCATGTGATGTCACAGACAGCTTCTTCTGCTGGATTCTACAATGGGGTGTATTTATCAATTGATTTGTTTTGTGATGTCATTTGATGTCACAGGAAGTCACTCAGACACTAATTTACTTACTGTTGTTTTTGTGCCATGGCAACTGTGTCCAGCATTGAGAATGCAGCTTGTAGCGTGTGCACCTTGGTGGTCATGAAACATAGTGTTGGTTGCCACGGTGAAGGCGATGGAGTACCGTGGAATGTCTTTGTAGTCGGTTCCCTAGGGGGAGTTTGTCATGGCAACAAGATATAGCATGGAGCTGAAAACAGGATGTGGAATTTTGATAACGAAGTGTTTTGCCATTACTTACGTAGTTAGTTGGGTTGTTGATGGGTGAGGTTTGGTTCTTTCTGCCTGTGTTTGTTAAGAGTTCAGTTGGAGAAGAGAAGGGAGGAGGGGGAGAGAAAGGAGTGAGAGAGAGAGAGAAAGAAAAGCCAGAGTGGATAAGTGAAGGGAGAAGGAAGGAGGAGGAGAGAAAGGAGAGAGAGAGAGAGAAAGAAAAGTGAGAGTGGAGAAGTAAAGGGAGGGGAATAAAAGGACACACACAAAGGCAAAAAATTTACAGACATTTTTTTTTATAATGTAACAACATTTATACCATAGTGCGTGCTTGTAAGCATGCATGTGGTTTGACAAATGTATAAATCGTCATAAATACCGAGTCTATTGAGGGAGTTTAGTGGACAAGATGTTGGAGTGTCGGTACCTATTCGGCCCACTGTCCCCTTGGGATGTCAGACACACACACACACACACAGCTATATACCCAGTCACTGAATGTGACATGGTGTATGTCCTGCCCATACAATCGGTGCTATTGTTCAAGTTGCATCCCTCCCTTCCTCTTAAAGGGAATGTGGCAGTATAATATTAGGGCAATTTAGAAAGTGTTCACTAAAAAAACGGAAACCTAATTCTTTTTGCACTGGGCCCCAATGTTTAGTTCTTTTCTAAACTTAGCCCTTATGTACTGACACATTCCTTTAATGTCGCCCCTCTCTCCTTTATCTCTCTACCTCCACCTCTTCTCCACCTTCTCCTCCATTGTACCTCTCCCTCCTCTCCCCTTCCCCTTCTCCTCCTCCTCCTCTTGTTTCAGCTCCAGCCCCTATAAAAGTAGCCGATACAACGTACTAATTCTTCCTCCAACCATGGATTGATCTTCTCCTGGATAAACTGCAACAAGTAACGTACTTGATGGGATATTATGCATGTAGTACATCACTGTATGAATACTTCTTTAGTACTTAGCCGTTTTTGCTGTGAACAAATTTTATTTAACTCTGCGATCGTAAGGGTATGTGCAGGCTATGCAGGGACTGTTATGAATTACTTATTGAAGTTGTAGAATAATTCCTTGATCTGTAGGAATTTTGAAACAATAGTGACATCAAAACCAAAAGTTAAACTTTCTACGTTTAATTGCATTCCTATAATAAACCTTCAAATAGCGCTGGGTTTATACTTCACTTTCGCAGCCACAATAAATCAATAATCACTCTCCGTAGTCACGCAATATAAAACAGTATGAAGGAGAGAGAATTCTTGTTTATACAAGTCGATTGTGAATTTCATTAGGTGATCATTAAAGCAGATAAGAATGCAGCGCAATGCAATTATTATTGTAGCAAAGTTGGCGATCCACATATATTATAATAGTTGTATTGTACAATGGGAGACATAATCTACTTTGTAACTGAATCGCTTGGTTTTCAACCATAATTATTATATATAGAACAACACATAGTCAGTTTGTTATCCACTCGTCTTTCTTCTGAACTGGTGAAACCTAGTCCTGTGGTGTGTAGGAGGAAAATGACGAAAATGATTCTCTGAAGCTGACAGACAAGTAAATAGAGATTCGGTTCTTCAAATGCCTACGTAATAGACACTGTGTTGCTATTAGTAACCATCGACTCGACGACAGAGCTCAAGTGCATTCTTGCACTAAACCCTTTCAAGATGTCAACTGGTAGCATTCCTCAATCCTCTCCTTACCTACAGCGTACTGTATGTATGCAACCAAGCAGTATAATACAAACATCAACAGTCACATCGCAAGCCTTTACCAGCTGCAAGCTAACGGAACACTCTCTACCTTTTGCGGTATGCAGTGCTATAAGGACCATAAACAGCGTCCAGCACTATTTTAATCAGTTCATACCTTTTGCCGTATTCAGTGCTATATAAGGACCATAAACAACATCCAGCACTATTTACTCACGTTCATACCTTTTGCCGTATGTATATAAGGACCGTAAACAGCGTCCAAATGCAGGGTGTGAGAGTGGAACCTCAAGAGGATATTGGGTAAAAGGGTAGTATATACATGTACATATATCGAAGTAGAGAAATGCTCTCTAGTAGGCAGCTGCCGGTTTCCTCTGTAATGTATATAAACAGAGCCTATATATAGTGGGCGAAAGGAAGGAGCTAGGGTACATACTTTATTAGGGTAGGGATGCCACTAATACGGGACCTTAGTAGGATTGTGTTATGGTAGGGTATGTATGTTGTATGTATATGCTGCAGTGCCCAGACAGGACAGCATGAGCCCTGCTTGCACACATAGGATTGTATAGGCTGCCCTGCTCCCCCCCAGTACCTAGCTTCATACACGTTGGTTGCCTAGGGATATCCAATAAGAACATACATATACCAAGGACATGTGTTAAAAGACCAGTGAATGGACACATACTGTCAGTGTTCATACAGCAGTCTCTAAAGCCTTGGGTACTATGAAAACACTCATTTCCGTTAACTTTTGCTCTGAAAATTGATGTTTTTGGTGTGCTATATATAGTAACCCCGATTCCTTGCGGCAGAGCATCTATAAATAGAACTTTAAAAAGGGCCCAGCACTGGACAAGGTTGAGGTGTATGCCACCTGAAACAGCTTACGTATTTGTAGTTTTCGTTTTTAAATGTGGTGTTTGCGTGCACTTCTGTTGTCATTAGACTGAGGTTCGAAGAGAAATAATCGGAAAGGACAAAGGTTGGAGTGAGATAGGGGGAAAAACTAAGGTTAGACTGAGATAGGGGAAAGACGGAAGGAAGGCTAGGGCGAGATAATATACAATAACTAGACACCTATGTAATGTACGCAATGTTTACTAGAACTGGCTAGCCAACGGACATTCTTACGGTCTGGTTTTTATGGTTAGTAGACAACGACATCACTAACTGCCAGTCCATTGACCCCTTACACCCCCTCCCTTGGCCCCCTCCTTCCGGACAATTACGCTATTCATTACCCCTCCCCTCCCTAGTGTATTTACCAATTAACCCCTCCCACCCTGACCTCATAAGTCGGTTAGCCAGACCGACCTATAAACCGGTACAGTGTGTAGACAGAATGACGCGATTTACGGTGTATTAATGAGATTCATTGAAATTCCAGCCCGTCTCTCAAACTATCCACCTACACTCTCCCGCTCAATGCAACACTGCATAATGGGATAAGTCACACGAACTAAAAGTAGCAAACATGTTTTTTTGCTGTTGCATAACAAGGTGGTGAAGTGTACACAGCATAAAGAAAGTACGCCATTTGTCTGTCTTTTGTCTCGTCTGTGATGTCAGCAGGCTACGGTACAGTAGGGCAGAGGTTAGGTGTCGCGAATGAAAACTGTTCGTCTCTGCGTGAAACTTCCGCTGCCTAGAATGCTACTAGCCATTATCTCTGCCCACGTAATGTGTGGGACATCGTGTACTGTATTCCCCATCATCTGGCATGCACAGGTGCTACTAGCCATTATCTCTGCCCACGTAATGTGTGGGACATCGTGTACTGTATTCCCCATCATCTGGCATGCACAGGGAACATAATCAAGCAAAAAAACTCGGCACAATCTATGAATCATGAAAAAAATTTTGGATCACTGTAAAATTTTACCCAGCTTAGTTGTATATACACAAGGGATGGAAGGGTGGAAGTATGGTATGTAACCATATCTTGTCGTGGGTGTATATGGGACTCTAACTGAAGTAATTGTCATACAGCCACATGTATGTACTCTATATACAGCACAATACGTTTAGGAGAGCGTCATTCGGTTACGCCGTGCAATTCCTTTCTCACATCAAATTACACTTTAGAGCACGTCAAGAAAGTACGGAAGGAATTAAATATGAGTAATTAAGGGGCAATCGCTTTACATTCCATTTGCGTAATGTGTGTAGCTTTTAAACTGTGCCATAGTGGTACTGCCTGTATATGAGATGAATAGATGAATAGCTGCCTGGGTGAGTGGGCAAAGCAGCTGTTCGTGTATCGTGCGAGTTCCGCCATTTCCTAATAGAGGCATCCTCCTCTGTTGGAGCCGCTCTTTGCCAGGTCATTACACCAATGGTCCAATCAATTCACTGGCTCTCTCGTATGTCGCTGCAAATTGTAAACAGGCCCCATGACTGTAGACATACATACATACATACATACAGTCAGTGGTCCAAAGGAGGTTGTCTAAATATGAACCTAACCGGTTTAAAATTGCTGCTAACACAAACTGCTTCCGTGTTAGCCGAAACGACGCGGAGAATTTGGCCCAGGACTGTTGTTTCGAGGCCCGCTAATGTTCCTATTGTTAGAAAGAGACAGTGTGTGTAATGCCGCAGGACACCGGCACATGACTACACTACACTGGCATGTACTGTTTGTGTTAGCATAACAACATGAGCACTGTCTGTGCAGAAATACCCCCGCCAGCTATTGAAATTTGATTATTGAAGGAACGAAGGTGTTGTTGTGTTCAGAGGTCCAAGTTGTGAGCCCACTACATATGTGGGTCCAATACCAAGTGATAGTAGTTGATTGATTGGGTTGTTCATTCATCACAAAATGTGCTAGATCGGCCTATTACCTCAAATTAACCTTTTACACAGGGTCATTGTACGTACGAAGCGAGAGGGAAAATGCGTGTGGCCATGCCTCCACGACACAAGGTGTGGTGTGGCCATATATATTTGCATAGTCATAAGGTCAGAGTGGACAAAAAGGAAAAACGGATAGATTCTCGTGTGCGTGTGTGCCATTCCTTATACATTTGACGGAGCCTGCCTCGTGCAAGCATTTCAGCAGTCAAACTATAGCTTCAGTTGTACAGATGAGAGTGACGCAGAGTGTCTCATGTTTTCAGGTGCATCTGTGCGCCATTCCTTTTACGTTCGCAGCAGCCACCCAGCCACCGTACCGCAGCTTCAGGGAAGATCTTCAACTACATTAACTCATCTCCTTACTTCACGACTCGTATTACTTTTATATGGATGTATATACATGGTACTTTGGCATAATATGGGGCTATGATCTTATGTATTGTAAGAAGGGCTACATATAGTTTATGCTGAGGTATACGTGACGGTAAGTTTGGAATGTGCTATATATATAAGACAGCTGGAATTCTAAACTCTCGAAACTTTTTAGTCTTCCAATTTTGGGAGTGTACACGAAAGCCATGGAGGAAAAGAAGCAGTGAGGGGGAGGGGGGGAGAGATAGAGAGAGAGAGAGTAAGTGAGTAAGAGAAGGGAGTTGAGAAGAGGTAAGACAATCCCAGTGTCAATTTTCCGTTGTAGTAAATAACCTCTGAGTGAAGTCGTTGTAAGAGGAGACGTGGGAGAGATGATTCGCTGAGTCAGCAGTCAGGAGGATGGTGGGGTCTTGGTTCAGACCCAGCTCCAACCACAGCTCTCTGGGTCAAGAGAAAGAAATATCATAGTGCCACGTAAAAAATGTGCAAAACTGCAATTCTTCTCGAAGAAATGGCCTATTTTTTAGTGTACCAGGCTAACCAGTTGACTGAGCAAGTGGCTCTGAAGGTTGGAGCTAGTCTCGCGCCCGACAGATTTAGTTGATTGGCGAAGTATTTAGTTGTGAACGTGTTGAGGAGAGGGGGGGAGAGGGGAGATAGCTTACCCTCCTTGTTTCAGGTGATGAGATGAAAATTCGAGAATCTTTGCTGCAACGTCTAATCCATCTTTCCCTCCGTGCAATGCTCTCTTGTCTTCATACCTTTTCAAAATACAGTGGAACCTCTCTAATCCGGACACCAACAGCACAGAAGTAAGTGTCTATATTTTATGAGAATTATTCTTGGGGAGAGAAAAGGTCCTTATTAGAGAGTTTACTCGTTTCAGGGGTGTCCATAAAGAGAGAGAGAGAGAGAGAGAGAGGGCGTTCCACTAAAAGAATAATTATACCCCTAATGAGAGGAGGGGGAAAATATGTTAGGGGAGAGATGAAGGGGGGAGGGATGGGAAGAAAATGTCGCAACATCCCCTGTTGAAATACCATCCAATTCCCTTTCCCAGCCTCATACATTTATAATATACAAACATAGCTACGTATATATAATATACAAACATAGCTACGTATATACTAGTTACACCACAGATGCCCTATATAGGGCATGTGAAGGTGGTATAATGTTTACTAACGCACTGTAAACAGTGCGGTGCAAGCATGCCTGTGAACTATGGGTTTGGATACCACATCACGCATTCATAACTGGTATTGTAACTTACTACCAACGCCCATATACACCCATATGTCCAATGATCACATAATGTGTCCCACGCACAGTATAAACATTAATCGGCTGCCACGCCTCATGGGGATCAATAATTACGCGTTGTTTTTTAATGGCACACTATACACAACTCTTGCACAAAATGTGAGCTAAAATTTTTTGCCTCAAATAAAAACATGGCCGAAGAGGATTTTGAAAGGCCATGGTGCTCCTGGTGTTACGTTTGAACTATTTCATCAACTGTGTTGTGGGGAAAAAACAGCCAGACAGTCGATTTCCTGTGCAAGTAGGTATAGAGTTTGTTGTGAGAAGGTGGAAGAGAGGACAGGAAATGGAGTGGATGTGGTACATGATAGGTGGATATGACTTTACCCTCTAAAAAGGATGTTGCAACCTTGTCTTATTGCACAGGTTCAGGTTAACTGTGAACTTTGCAACATACTTATGTATACATAATGCCTTTGCCCTCTTCCTTATTCTGTCCCATTACTACGTATGTCATGGATTGTACGTCATGCATTGATGCATGGGTGGTGAAAAAACCTGTGTCCATACTTCCTGGTCACATGTGACCGGCACTCTAGAAGTGGGTATAATTATACACTTGTCACGCCCTCCCAACATGAACTGTGCGTGTTACCACACATGTGTGTGTGTGTGTGTGCGCCGCCCACGCCTCTGTGAAAATAAAGATTACGTAATCATTAATGTGTAAAGTGTGCCACGGTCTCACAAGGGTGAGTGTGTAAACTGGTACACCAGACAATTAGCATTCGATGGCGGCGTTTCCTTTAAATCATATCTTATAGGTCTGGTACACAGCCTGCGGAGGCTTATACGCCCCTTTGATTATGTAATACGGCACATTATTATAAGTATATGCATAATTATGGATATCTTGGCAATTATATATGTTTCACTTCCAGTCACAAGGGCTCAACGGGAAGTTATTGAATATGAGGGCCAACTCTTGTTGGGAAGGAGAGAGTGTGGCCAAAATGCTACCATTTATGGCGAAATCCTTCAAATCCGGTCACTAAGGGAGGAAAAGAAAGTGTCCGTTTTAGAGAGGTGTCCTCTTTTACAGAAGAGGAGTTGTTCTACTGTTGTTTTATGTAGTGGAGACCTACTACGAGACAATGTCGGAGCGAGATAGGGGGGAAGATGAAAGGTTGGAGCAAGATAGGGGGAAATACGAAAGGTTGGAGTGAGATAAGACAAACCAACCAGGAGACAGAATGATCCAGAGTTGCCATGTCTGAGGTGGTAATGTAAGGAGGATTACTGACTATTACGTCAGCCCATAGACACCCGTGGCCAGTGGTGATGGGTGGATGGGGAGAGCTGTGAGAGTGATGAGTGTTGTGAGAGTGGGGAGATCTGTGAGAGTGGGGAGAGTTGTGAAGATGGGGAGAGGTGTGAGAGTGGGGAGAGTTGTGAAGATGGGGAGAGGTGTGAAGTGTCTCAATGGAACTGAGGATTACTGTCAGTCGTTCTGATAGCCCAGTTCTTTGGGAGGGAGAGAGGGAGAGAAGGGGAAGAAAGAGAGAGGAGTAAATGAAGTTAGGTGGAGATCGGGAAGGGTCCACCTGGTTGCATTCTCTCTGGTAAGTGCCACTGCCTCTTCTGATATATCCACTGCACAGCCATACATCTGGTATATATATATAGGAAGAGGAGACAAGGAAAGAGAGAGGAAAAGCAGAGGTGTCGAGGAAGAAGTGGTGTGGAGGGAGAGAGAGGGGAGAGGAAATCAGAAACCAGAGACTTAACTTCACTGTGGAAACTTAGTCTTATAGCTTAGGTAGCACATTGAAGCTATACACCTGTTGGCTATTGCCTAAGGGCTAACATATGACGTCATCAGGAGTTAGTGGTTGGATTTCCTTGGGAGCTATACAGTGAACCAGACACAGGGTCATTGATGGTAAGCCCTATTTGATGAAGGCTGAAGCTGCCAAAATGGGAGAAATACACACCACAGAGTGTAGGTCTGTCTTCTCAGATTGTATGTACCTCAATTGCTATTGAGCCCTTTGACATGCAAGATAGTCTCTTGCTGTTATACAGCTATTTGACTTTACCTGAGCCCTCGAAATTTTTTACAACTTATTTTACATCCAATTGTAAAAACGCAAAAACACCGTTGGAATCCTCGCAAATTTCCGGTTCTGATGGTATTCTTCACTAACCAACCAGTCGAAAGTTAGCTGTATGTCTCATAAGAAAAGTATGCGCATAAGTAAAGTATGTGGTTCCTGTATATATAACTACCACTTACGTGAATAGACTTTAGTTGTGTAGTAGGAATTTGTGATCATTGCGTCTGATAATTTGTTAGCACTCGGGCTGTTTATTCTACCAACATACCAAGTGTGTGTATTTATGCAGGTGAAAATTGAATTGTTATGTGTCTATGTTGTATACAGGATACTACTGCAGCTCTGTTTATGTTTACATATGTACATACTACTGTCAAATGGAGTGGAGGGGGAGAGTAGGCGGGGAGAGTAGGCGGGGAGAGTAGGCGGGGAGAGTATGCGGGGAGAGAGGGTGAGAGAGAGAGAAAGGCACTGGGACAGGGGATAACCTGACCAAAAGCCAGAGGGGATAAACTGACCCACAGTAGGGAGATACATACATACGTACTACACAAGTGTTGGAGTAAACAACTGAATAGTGAAATTCATAGCTGTGGGAAAAGCGGCTTTGGCAGAGGACTAATATTGTGGGTTGGGGTGGGCTGATAAGTACCTTCCCACGAGTACTTGTTCTAAAACCCTTGTCTACAAACATGTGTACTAACTAGTCTATCCTGATGTGTACATATATATATATATACTGCTTTTGACATATGTTGTTATGCACCTGAGCCAATCCACTTATAACACAACCTTCAAAGGCCAAGTACGTATATTATACACCTGTATACAGTGGAACTCCTCTTATCCGGACACCAATGGGAGAGAGAAGAAAGTGTCCTTATTGGTGAGGTGTCCTTATTTCAGGGGATGCACAGAACTGTTAGAAAATGTGTCCTTATTAGACAAGTGTCCTCATTGATCAGTCGGTGCCCTTAGAAAAGGGTTCCACTGAAACAATACCTCTAGGAGTAATGGGCCCATTGGACAAGTATGTAGGTTGGCATCCATGCATTATACCTCCTTCAGCAAAGTACATAATTGTACTGCGTGAACGTATGCATGTCCGTGCCGTAAGTAGGTGGGACTAATAACGGATTATAGGCAGTTAGGGTACTATCCAGGCTGTGTTTCCCCCCTCAGCCTCAAGCTGAAAGCAATCTCACTTCGTTTTGAAACCGCACCGATTCGGGGAGAATCTTTCGTTCCATTAGTCCTACGTACTGTCGTGTACAAGCTCAAGTGCTGAAAGTGGATTTTTTCTGCCCTCCGTCCAACAGTTGTTTGTCCATATGTCTGGTTTACTTTCAGTTGCGATGGCATGTTTTTCCACAGCCCCTTTGGGTGGGTATACAGTGGCGGATCTGGGATTTTGAAAGGGGGGGTTCCGCTGTCCAGAACGTTTTCGACTGCGCTCGTGCGTGCGCACGAGGCCGGCGACGCATGCGAGCAAAACGACAAAAATGGGGGTTCCGGGGGACCCAAGGAACCCCCCTGGATCCACCACTGGTGTATACTGACAGCAGGTATAGTAATAGTGAAACTAAAGGGCCCTTTACACACACATAGAATACGTTTGACAGTGAAGCTACATTCTGCGACGTTTGAATTGGTGCACGCATTACGTAGATGAAGGAAACTTAGTGCAAAGTATGAACGAGAGTGAAATCCCTCTAATCCGGACACCAACGGGACAGAAGAAAGTGTCCATATTAGTGAGTTTACGAGCGCGTAGGCACTGGCACGGATGGCTTTCTTCACCGGATGAGGTAACCTGGTTGAATTGGACGCAAGAACTGTTCTTGGGGAAAGAAACGGTGTCCCTATAAAAGAGGTGGTCCTCATTTCAGGGGGTGTCCCTATAGAAAGAGGTTCCATTGAACATGTAAGATTGAGATGAAAGGTTATGTGTGTGTCGTTTGGGACAGCTCTCCTTTCACAGAAAATGTGTAGGTGCGAATTTCAAACCGACACACCCATGTGTATAGGATTAATTACAGCATACCAGTGAGGCACTCAGGCAGAACTGCTTTTGAGCCGTGTATATATGTGTGACAGTGTACACAAGTCATGCAGTGTTGGTCTCGGAACTCTGCGTGTGCATCAGTAGGAGGCATGCCACGCGCAGGGTTGCGGGCACGTGTCTCCTGAGAGTCCTTCTAGGTGTAACTAGCCCTTGGGATTACATCATCATGACATCATACTAAACGAGATGATTCATCCCGTCCCAAGAATGAGGTTTCTGATTTCCTGTACACACACCTCAAGCAGAAATTAACACGAAAATTACATGAAAACAAGTCAATTTACAGTCATGGTAAGGACCCCCTTACTTGAGGACACTCTTGGAGAAGAGATAGTGAAATAGCTCCACTGCCGCAGCCAACGTCCAGAAACCTTACCGCCTCTCCTCTCTCCCCCTCCTCCCTGCCTCTGTTTCCCTCACGACCACGGTGTGTGCGTGGGTCATGTGACCTTGTTTGTTGGTATCCGGGGCAACAGTGTTGTAGGACTAGACCCACTAGCTCCTGAGAGATGGTGGAGGTGAGGTACGTAGAAGGAGAAGAAAAAGATGCGAGAGGGAGAGGGAGCAGAGGGAGAGAGGGAGAGTGGTAAGGGGAGGAGCGAGGAGAGATGAGGTGAGAAGGGAGAGAGAGTGGGTAAAGGGAGAGAGAGAGAGGGAGAGTAAAGGGAGAGAGGGAGAGTGGGTAAAGGGAGAGAGGGAGAGTGGGTGGGTAAAGGGAGAGAGAGAGAGTGGGTAAAGGGAGAGAGGGAGAGTGGGTAAAGGGAGAGAGGGAGAGTGGGTACAGGAGAGAGGAGAGCGGCAGGGGGAGAGGGAGAGGAGAGTAAGAGAGGAGAGGGAGTGGGCAGGGCGCGAGAGGGAGCGGGCAGAGGGAGAGGGGGCAAAGAGTAAAGGAATAGCGTATATAAGGTCAAGAGATCTTAATGGACTGTGTATATACAGTGTAGTAGCATTGGTCATTAATTTATTTAAAAAATGTACTTTGGGGTGTACATATTACCAAGGGACATATTATAGTAGCTGCATTAATGAATAGGTTCCCAGGTTTAATAGGCAGCCCTCGCACAACTGGCGAGGACAAAGCTAACAAAACCGGGTACAGTCGGAATCCTTCCTCTCTTTATGTCTTCCAGTGGGTTAACAGGAAGGTTGTCTGTATCTTAATGAACTGATATAAGTATACACACATCCTCTGCTGATTCCGTGTAATTAACCCTGAATAGAGGACACACTGATACCTTTAATATTGTCTTTCATTCATAGGTGTGTCCTTTATTAATACTGGTGAAATATAATTAATTACTAGCCTTGGATTTAAACTAGGTGCGTACTTGGGCACTAGGTAAAGGTAGGTTTAGGTAACTGTATCTGAAGTGGGTGTTGTGAATGTGTGGTTGTGTGGCCTATGATGGTAATGGAATTCGGGTTGACCTGAGCCCAGCCTGCCCTACCTAAATCTGGCACCCGTTATTCTGAGGTAAAGGTACAGGTTTTGGTATGCCCTAATTTTGACGGCACCTTTTACTTTTTGTTTTACTCTAAAGTTCTTGTGAAACGCGAATAATTTGTAATTGAGGGTATAGGTTTGCTCGCAACATACGCTATAGGTGTTTTTCATGTTTCAAGTTATGAATAATTGTTTCTTATTCACGGTGGACTTTCAGCTTCCCTGGTCAAGCATTAATTAATTATGTAATAGTCAGCATTTAATGGGTGAAATCAGGGCCCGTATGGAGTAACAAAACACGATGATGTCGTGGTGATGTCATGCGCTGGTCCAGACCTCTGTCTCTGGTCTTGGAATGAGGACGGGAGCTCTGAGGGTCAGTGTCAGGTTCCGGAATTCCCATTCTCCCACGATATACTGGACTGGGACTCTGAATGTATGGATATGTGTGTGTTTATCATAATTATGTACATTATGGGTACGTACATATTGTGTATGTGTACGCATGTATAATTACATTTCTTTCGAAACGACATTGTGTACGTATAAAGTACAACTTAATCATCTGACTGCTGACAGATCAAGTAAGGTTAAATACTTTATTACATGAGTTGAAGTAAACATGTTGTATGTGCTATACAAATTTATTACACCGGTGGAACCATGGGTCAACAACAGCAAAATTACGTAGGCACTGTTGTATCTGAGTTATGCAATAAGGTGTCACTAAAGGAGGTATATATGTGACTAATAAAGAGTTTTCTTCCATTTTTGTGAGATTTTCCTAATTTGCCACACACCAGGCAATTCAGCAGTAAGCTTCAGGCTGAGTTACTGTGCATACTGCTTTTTAAGGGAAGAGAGAGAGAAGGTCACAAGTGGTGCTATATATGGTGTGTCCATGTGTCCGTAGGTATGTAAGCCGCGCCATATATGGATACAATATCATCGAGAAACAATACGTGAAATTCGACCTGCACAAATTGCACATATATATTCCTGTAATGGAATCAGGGAGTGGTAATTTTGTAAACCTACTGGTAATAGAATGCATCATCAGTTCTCACAAGTTTCTCACATGCACCAAGCTGCATACATGTCATGTGTAATATATATGCAGCGCTCTCTTAGCTGATGCAGCCTGTTATTATAGTGCACGGAATATGTCCCTTTATGGGAACGTTGTTAGCGTAGCAGTAAGATAACTGATGACATTGGATATTGCATAACCCTATACTAGCACGTATTGCGGAGTATAATGCCTTATGGTAATAAGAGAAGGTGATATCATAACATGATGTGTCTCTTAATCTGGATATTCATTACAATTGGGTGTGTCTTATAATAACAGTTGTTTAGGACGAAATTCTAACCACCTTTACCTGAAATACTCAACCCTTGCCTTATAATATTGACACTCTCAATAAATGACACTTGTTTCAGTTGTGTGTACGTATCTTAATCATCACTGAAACAAGGACACCTCTCTTAAAATTATCAGTGCACCCTCTATTTAAAGCCCACTGAACAAGATATACATACATACCAACGGAGCCTTGGGAACGCAAGTTACCACGAAAGTGAAAGAAGCGTGACAAGATTATCGCCCGTCACAAAATATTTACACCCGTGGTCATGTTTTTCAGACGTAATGGACTATCACATAGTGACGGTACTTCGTGCGCAGGGATGCCACTGCCAGTAATACACCTCCACAAAGAAGGCAAAGACAGCATCATATAGAGCTAGCGGCAATGCTACACCTCCACAAAGGAGGCAAAGACAGCATCATATAGAGCTAGCGGCATTGCTATAGGTATGTGCTATGTGTAGGTGGTGCGTGGGTTGTGCAGTCAACCCAAAAGGGAAAGAATGTTCCAGATCATTATAAGGTGTTCAAGGAAAGCTGCACATGGGTGACTGCTTCAGATATAATGTATGCATACCAGGGGCTATGCTGGCAGGAAGGACGAAGTAGATCATCATGTGCTGGTGATTTTATAAGGATTCCTACACTTCAGATCAGGATGATATGATGTGGTCAGCATAATATAGGGCACCCTTTGTATAGTTACGTACTGTATATACCTGACAGGTAAGGTTGAATATATCGCTAGATGTTCTTAAACCTCCATATTTACGGAAATTCGACCGTCCGATAATATATAGAATGACACATTCAACAAACCATATCACCAAGCAATTTGTCCGATTATACACAACGAGAATTTTTATGTTTACTTCTAATTAAAAAAATAAATAAATAAAAGTAGTTTTCTGAGAAAAGTCATGGCCGTTTTGTAAGTGGTTTCAAAACCTTGCCAACTCCGGACTATAGTACAGCAATGTGGTCAATTGGCCTTATACCCCTGGCTGCGTGGGATATGGTACGTATGCCTGCCTTTGCCAAGTGGTACTTAAACCGTAGTCTCTCTCTAAGTATACGCCCATGTTGTAGACATAATGGGGGACTATTGGGTGTGTATTTGTTGATAATTGTTCCATCTTTTGTGCAAATACCAGTGCCTGTTAGTGACACGCAATTACGAGAACTAAACAACCGCACGGGGGCCAAACGCTGCAAGGTGTGGCTGTATATTGCAGTGTACGGGTAGTGTGGGATAAGGACGGTATGTAAAAGGAGTTGCTGTTTACACACTTATCGCAGTGTGGGGAGGGCATGTGGAAGTATTGCGTAATTGCAGTGTAAAATTAATAATAGTAGAGCGTAGGGAAGGAACATATTAATGTAGGGAGTAGGGGGCTGATATTAATGTAGCTGGGCTAAAGGTTAAAGGTGGTCATATACGTATAGAGTGTTGAAAGCAAGAAAATTACGGGAAGCTAATGTGTAAGATAATAATAACTACTTAATGCCAACACCCAGAATGATAAACTTTTGTGCACACATGCAACTCATCGTAAGTATCAAAATGCAAACATGAAGGGTTTGTATGGATTGTGGGTGTACGACATGGACAAGGCCTTCGCGCGTGTCTTCCATTTTTGTTTAGTTTGGCGAGCGCCGTGGGTGTGGGTTCAGTCACCTGTGAAATGGTGTGTGTCTCTGGCCAGCGTCGACATGCCCGCCTGGATCCAGGGAGGGACGCACTTACGAAAACAGCCCAATTCCCAGTTCTCCATCCCAGAATGTGTTGTGTCTGCAGACTGTGTGTGTCTCCAGATTGTTGTCCCATGGAGACCGGTGGTTAAGTGTATTCACGTCAGTCAAGGCCTACGCGCGGAATTTAACTGTGCATGCAACGTGCTTAAATTTCGCTATAACTGCCTTTGCAAGGCAATACGATTGTTCGTTGGTTCGCTGTTTTGCATGAGTGTCAGCAGAAACAAATGCTCTATTAGTCCTCACCGGTTTAATACTAGTATAATATAGAGCGTGTGGCTTTGCTCAGCGGGCCTGTAACACTGATCATGTGCGTGTGTGAATGTGTTCATGCTGCATTTCGTTCTGTGGTCGTCACACATGGCGCCCGTCATGCATCATATCGAAATTTCTCAGCGTGCGCGGGCCTCCGTCATGCAGTAACTCGCAATTTCCCTACACGTGTGTGAGGGATGGAGAAATCGCCCTTGGCAGTGGTTACATGTAGTTACAACTCTTCGTAGGGACAGCATATGTTCCTGTTTTGTCGATCCAGTTTCTCACATGTTTGCCTGCCCCTAAGTACACCACTCAAAAACACCCCTATCGTAGCCCCGTACATCTATTATGCTAGGTATATACCATGCCCATACTATCTGTACTTAATGCCCTGCATACGAACTACCGTACTTAGTGATACGTATGTACATGTAGCTAAGTATCTAGTAACCAATAGCCCTGTGTCTTTACTCCGCCTCCTAGGTTAATGGCAATGCTATAAGAGTATAGCCACAACTATAAGGAAAGATTGGACGTAATTTAATCTACTGCTGTTTACACAACCACAATCGACTTTACACCACATACATTTGTTCCCTCTTTCTACATAAAGTGATTACGAAATGTGTTGTCTGCTTTGTGAATTAGTGGTCACATATTTCAACAGAGTGAATGGAGCAAGCCGACTTGTATGAAGTCGCCCCTTACAATAGGCAGGGGACCGACGTAATGGATGACAGAGTAATTACTGATGATGAACTAGAAATTGCCGTGGAATGGAGCACACCTTTTGAGTCGTAGGTTGAGGAGCTCGGTCGCGTGGCTGACTTGCTCTGGACTCAGTTTGGGATGTCTCTAAGGTGGAGGGGAAAGAGAGAGGGAGGGAGAGGGGGAGAAAGAGGAGATGGATAAGGGGTGAGGGAACAGAGAGAGGGAGAGTGTAAGGGGGGAGGGAGAAAGTAGGGAGAAAAAGAGTGAGTATGTTAATATCTAGGGCTACCTTTGAAGCTGAAGTGAATGTTACGTACTATAGTCATGGATGAACGCGTGACTCGAGTTGTGTATATAGTACTCCACACGGACGGTCATCAAGTCTAAAAAAGCTTGCGTGTACAATAAAACACTGCGCACATTCATAAAATGTCGACTTTAGACGTTCTGAAACTGCGCGTGTATATACCCAATTTTCACACACAGCAGTTCAGTGTCCGAGTCAGTTCTAATACGTACGCATGTGCTATAAGAGAAACACGCGGCATGGCGTAATTCAGTGTGTGAATAAGGACATAGATACACACGCCATGGTGATGGGATATAACAAACTGTTATAGCTACATACACCACATGTACATGTACATGCATTCCGACTTTGTGCATACACTAAGTTACGTTTGAGTCTGAAGCTAAAAAATAACAGCTACCAATACTCAGCACGTACATATATGTACCGTGACGTGGACTTACAGTTTGCAAGTGTCTGTGTGATTTCACCACGTGTTCCAGTATAAACCGGACTGACAGGTTCGAGTTCAGGAATGTCCTGTTCTCCCCTCCAGTCTCCTAACCCACTCTTCTTGAACTCTCAAGATTCTTCGGAAGGAGCTTCCGCTCGCTATCCTTCGTATCGCCTCTGATGAACCAGCAGAGGAGCCAGAGTGGCGTCCGTTTTTGAAAAGGAGACACACACCGACTTAGCCTTTGAGCAAAACCCAACCCCCCCCCCCCCACCCCCAAACCACAAACCAACCAAAAAAAACACACACCAAAACCACCAAAACCCAACCCCCCCCCCACCCCAAACCAAAAAACCACCCAAAAAAACACACACACCCACCAAAACCCAACCCCCCCCCCACCCAAAACCAAAAAACAACCAAAACACACACACCACAGCATTGGAGTGCGTGTTTGCGTGCGTGCGTGATAAGTGGCGAAATGACAAAGGGCACCTAAAAGACAGCAGTGGCTTGCGGTTGGTATCACACGTGTGCAGCAGCTACAGCAGACCGAAGCAGTGATAGCTACAGTAGTATCTACTACCGTAGGTTGCTCTAATGTTGTACATGTGGCGGTGTACATTTCCTCTTGGAATCACATGGTATTTCATGTTACATGGTAACATGTAGCCTACACATAAGTCGGTTTAAGTGCAGTGTACTGGTCGTCGAGGGGACAACGTAGCGGAGGGCACGAGTCATATAACGAAGTTCGTACACTACGAGATGCTGTTCGATATTCTCACGTACACATGCTGTGCGCTGTCTCTTTTTCACCACGTCAGTGGCGGTTCCTTCGATCCCAGGTTTCTTCTCAGGTTTAACAACGCAACAAATCCATGCACAGTGACCACATAACTATATGCCCGTCGTTTGAAGCATTCCAAACACGAATAAACTGCAGCCATTCTATGCACACACACATGCTACATTGGAAGAAGAAACAGCGTGTCGTGCACGATTGGGCCTGTCACAGAAACAAAGGCAAAGAACCTACATACAATAGCAGCGAGAGAGACATAATACAGTCAACAGTGCATAACTACTGCATGGGCCAGCAATAGGCAGGTATCGGTGAGGGAAAAATGTTGTGCGGGGTAATCAAAAACAAGGAAATCGCTAGGGTAGGTGGTTGGAAGAAAAAAGGGGTGACACAGCATTAGACTTCTGACAGTGCCTTGTAAGAGATCATAGGCAGGCCGCCATCGGTGTTCCCACTCCTTCCTGGACAAGCTCATAAATGGGGGCCTTGTGTGACTAGCCAGACATCTTGTTGTCTCATTGACTTCACCCTGGTCCCGCCATGCAACCAGCTCCTGCATCCACTAATTAGTATTATAATAATATACCATACGTATAGCTATTGCATGCTACACAAGTACTGAAAGATCAATGTTGACAAGTAGAATACACACACCTGTCAAAGTATACACATTATATTTTTGTGGCTCAGGTATGGTAGAGCAGGCAAACTGTTATATTGGGTGTGCTTTGCTTTTCTTTGGTTGTTTTTTAATGTGTATGTAATTTATGCTGCCAACACGTATATTAGACAGCGGTATTTTGTATCAGCCATGGTTCTAACTACTTTGTATTTTTTTTTTTTTTTTGTTTTGGTGTTATTTTATGTGGGTTTCGTGTGGTTGTTTATTGGTATTTTATGTTTTTTATTTGTTTTTTTTTATTTTTTGTTATTTTATTTGTTTTTAAGACAGCGATGCACATGGTTACCAGACTGGCAAGAGTTATAAATCAGGCCACTTATTACAAACACATGTGTAGTCCAATTCAACAAACCCGGTGCTAGGAATATACGCTGTATTCTGAGCGGGTGCGGGATGCAACGGGTTATCAGTACTTGGACAGGAACAGTCCTATCACAAACATCGAGCAGACTAGGCGCGTAGTGCAAATCTTGTCTGGCTTCCAAAGTTTACAACAAACATCCATTAGTACATTAGTGCACAAGATGACACACAGCAGAATTCAGCATTGTGATTGTGCTAGTTGGACATACAAATCCGTTAACGAGTCAGGCGTCTGCTTGGAAGCGCGGAGTACAGGCATCACTCCTCGCTGTTCAACTATAAACGCGCCTCGTGGACATACGCCCTCTCGTCCGGTTATAGTCAACAGCCTCGGAGTATCGTTACCATGTACACGCCTCGACCAAGCCATATACGTAACTAATAGTATTGCCATACATAGGTGGACCTGCAGTGAGTGCATGTTCACTAGGGAAATGTGATCAAGATTGAGTCTAGAAGGCAAAATGTGAAATAACTGGAGATTTCTCTGCCTGCCCAACAGAGTTGTCGTCGTTAAACACTTGCTGTCTTCAAGTAGGTCTTTGGCTGTGAGCCTCTCTACTAGGTGCAGTTGAGGTTTTCTCTAGTGTGAGCCAGCTCCTTAATCGAGAGGCTTGGGCCGGGCATGAACACACGGGTTTACATAGCTTCCTAAGTGAGCCTCAGCAGAGTGGTTTGCCACAATATGGGTTAGCTAGCTAGACCAAGCTGCTTGTACTGCTCTTTGGGAATCCAGTAGGTAGAAATGTAGTTGTAGGGAGGCCGGAGACTACACGAGACAGAGGGACAGACGAAAGGTGTGAAGCAAACGCAAAACAAAGGAATGTGCTTGACTTTTATGACACCTGTTGAAAGAAATTTTGATGAGATCAATGAGCAGCTTCGGGTTCCTGAGAACAGTGAGTATCACAGTTACCGCACACCCGCGTTTAGGGACGCAATTAGTCAAACCAACACCCATGAGGGCGCGCAAAGAGGATCTAGTCCTGCCAAACATCACGAATAGCCCTTTCACGTAAAGGACGAGGAATTCATTAGCTATAATTGAACGTGACGCAACTCCGGGGTACATTCCTCGCCATTTTGTTCACGTTTCCTGCAGGTATGGATGATGTCACTTTTCCAAGCGCCGTAGTTAGCTTACGCGATGTTCTATTTATACGGTATTAAAAAAAACTTTGAAACTTGTGCTATTGAATGTCCAATTGCGTGTGCTAGGGTTGTACGACTGGGAGATACGCGCTGCGAAAGACGGGGGTATAAGAGTTGCTAAGGTCTATACTGTCTTAGTGAAGTGGCGCTTTCTGTACCTGCCTTACCGTAGCTAAGCTCTGTGAAGGCTGGAACTGTTCGATATCTATGGCTTGTGTTTATGGCTAGCAACTCTTACTAGTGGTGTCTCAGCGATCTGTGGGCGACGTTATAGTACCGTCGTTTCCGAGCGCGGTATCTCCCTAGCCATAGCAATATAGACAGGTTTCCCAGCCTTCACTAGAGAGTTAGCTATACGAGGCCAGTCAGGACAGAACACGGCCTCTATCACTAGCAGGAGAGACCTTAGCAACTCTTATACCACGTTTTCCGATAGCGCCGTATCTCCAAGTCGTACAACCTAGCACAACGCCATATGGACCATTCAATAGCACAAGTTGCAAAGTATCCAATGATCCATTCAGCGTATTAGAGTCCTTTCTCGCCCCGGCCAGTAACGTCCAGTCTCACTCCAGCCCCTCGCTTCCCCCAAAGAAGCCTCCCACTGGACATAATGTACTCGAGGAGGCCGGAATCAAGGCGGTGGAAAACATTTGATCCCACACTTCAGCGAGGTTAGCGAGATCTCCTTTAGCGCGAAGTGGTGTCGATCCATGCGCTCAGGAGGGTGTAACACCTTGCGATGGCACCCACTCAATATGGGCAAAGTCAATATGACAGATTCTATCTCTGTCGCCTGGTTCTGGGTGGTGGCTTGCCCATATCAAAGGCTTCGGGGTACATGGCCACAGGGGAGTTGTTGGCTTGCTGTCTCCCCATTGAACCCGCAGAAAGACCGCCTCATTGGTTACAGTGAAAAATGGGATGGCCGTTGAGGCGCACCATATATATCCTCCCACACTTTGTGTTACCCATATATCCGTTATCTGACTTTCAACGCGAACGGCTCCACGTGGTCTCTTAAGTGCGCCCGTTCACAGTCCCGTAGGGGTGCTGTATAAGGTACAGGAAAAGGGGTGACGTTGCGTAGGGAAGCGGGAAGGTAAGGCTTGCCCTTTTCTGGGGTTCGACAACCTCTTTATGTCGTCGTCTGAACCCTACCTTCTATCTAACAGCGACGCGGTAAGGACTGGGGGAGTATGCCAACTCAGAAAATGGGAAATGTAGGAATCCTCCTATAGGCAACACGGCATCTTCGGAACCAAGGACACGAGAACCTGAGGGCGTAAAGGTAAGGAATATCACGGCTGGAAATCTTCCGAGCGGAAATACTGTACGTCACAGGGAAAGCACATCCACAGGGAGGGGGGAAGCCCGTCTTTTAAGCGATTGGGATTGGAGTGTAAAGGAGGACACGTTATTGTATAGTTATAAGAGTTAGTAAGGTTAAGGCAAGTCACGGCAGATGGGAGGAGGAAAAGTTTATCATCCCATAGACCTGAATAGAACAAACGTGAAACAAAAAGGGAGGAACGAACCCCGAGAGTTCGTACGTTCAATTATGATCTAATGAATTCTCAGTCCATTACTCTAATCCGACACGGTTCATATCGTCTAGTATAGGTTGATAAAAATGCCGATCTTTACGGCTGCAGTGGTCTACTCGAACAACCCACAAAGTTGTCTATTTATAAGCTTGTTCTTTCGTCATCGTCGTGTGTGTTCGGGACAACCCCAAAAAGCTAAACAAAAACCTACAAACATCTCTCTATCTTCTCAGATGCTGGTTACCTAGTTGAGGAACTAAAAAATGATTCGACTCACACTACGTTGAACCGTGTGGAGGAGCCGTTTATCAATGGCAGCAATGTAGTGGATCGTGAGGGCAACGATAGCCACAGAGAAAAGCTCCTGTCAGTTACTGAGAAGGACGCCGACCTTGATGATGTGCTGAAGGTGTTGCATGCCCTGCAAGTTACCTGCCAGAGTCGCCCTCTCGTTGAGACAGAGGAACTAGGAAAGACATTTGCCAAGTTCCTGATAGCCCTAAAGAACTATACAGTGTTTCATGCACTTGAAAGGAAGAAACCTTCAGCAAAGCGACTATTGTGGGTGTGCGAAAATGAATGCGGAGGAATCGCTGACAGGATAAAGGGCATTGCTTATGCTCTCATGCTAGCCATGTTTTCGCGAAGAGTTTTGCATCTGGATTGGGGCACCCAGCAAGGACTTAGTGAGCTGGCATTCCTGGAGCCGAATGCCATTGACTGGCATCTCATGCAAGAAGAAAGAGAGAAAGCATACTTACAAGACAATCACCATTTTTACATAAAATGTGCAGCCAGAAATGGAGTTGCTAAAAACTTGCGCAAATTGCTGGAAGCTACGAAGAAGGAAAGTGTACAATGGGTTGCTGTGACTACTAACACTACCCCCTGGTACCCTTGCAAAGACAGTAGGATACAAATGGATCAATAATGGCATGGCTTCTCTAAGTCTTAACAACGTACATGACTTAACATTATACTTTATGGACTGGCTTTCCGATCTCTTTAAATTTTCGTCTTATATCTGCAGAGGTGAGGGCCGCTCGCAGAGTGCTAGGACTTGAACACACAAGATATGTGGGGCTACATGTGAGGACAGGATTTGAAGGCTGGGAGAAGCATCCCAACGTGTACACAAAACCCCGGCAATGGAGCGAGTCAATATCCTGTGCCTATCGGTATGCCACTCAACACTTTGGCAATGAAGTTCCTATCTTCTTAGCCACAGATTCAAAACAAGTAAAAGGTATGGTTGGGCCTGAATACAGAGGTCAAATCAGGTGCCTAGACAATGTTGTTCTCCACGTGGGCAAACTGAAGAAACTGCACAGCAAGACAAAGGCCCAAGTTAAAGAAAGTTTGTTTAGTGTGTGGGTTGAGCTGATTTTGTTGGCTGAGTCCCACAGTTTAGTGAGGGGGGATTCAGGTTATGCATTCTTAGCTGAGTGTTTGTGCTTCATGCCCAAGGAAAGAACAGTCCGTGCATTAACATGTAGTTCTTCATACAAGGAGAAGTGAAAACAGTTATTATTTACTGTTGGCTGAGGGGGAACATTTTCAATGCGGCAGTTTTCGTGTAACAATTATGATAATTATGTTTCATAATACTGAGTGATGGAAGGATAATTTTTAAGTGCGCACTCTTGGTGGAAATAAATAATCCTTAAACTTGCCAGGTTTCAGTTAATCTACAAAGCAATTATCGTTACCCTGGCATTGGCAGTGCTTCCAGCAATGCAGGATGCTGGGGTAATGCGACCTGTGACAGTGTCCATATAAATACTAGAGGAATACTTTAGCATTATATGGGGAGCGAGAGTGATCGAAATGTTTTTATGCTGGTATTACTACAAAAAGCCTGTTATGCGTACTTTGAGTTGTAGTAACTTATAGATAGAATCCTGAAGTACGCAGTAATCCAGCTCCCTCAACTGGCATTCCATTGGTGGCTGTTGGTGCCCCTGTACCGCCTGAGCCAGCTCTAACTGTTGGTGCTGTGGTGGTTGTCTGTTGACAATTAGGGTGACTTGGGGCTTGGATAGTGATAGTTGGGAGGTACAAGTATATATCGTTAAACAAACGCATGACCGTTAAAATAATATTTCTAAGCTGGGAACATCATGATGCAAGGGAACAATGTTTTTGCTTGAGCACTGCACCACCTGGACAACAACCAGCTCCCTCATTTGGCAGTTCCATTGGTGTTGTTGGTGCCTCTGTCCCTGACACTCCGACCACCACCAACGGGGAGGTGTGTATAGATGAGATGGCTGATCGCTACACGTGCAAAGATCTAAGACATCTCCAATCGACTAAGAACGACTTCTTACGACCGCAATAGCACCCAGACGCGCTCCTTTCCCCTGTGGGTGTTGCGGCTGGGTACGAGACAATAGAATACAATAGGTACAATAGTAGCTAGTAGGCGAATGCATGGCATTTTTGGCGAGCGGGAGCGAGCACACAATGACTCTATCTGCAAGAGCCATCCTACAACTTGAACCTTAGATTCACGAAGATTGGAAGGAGGTATACACAGCCTCGGTCAGGTATCGAAGAGTGCAGCGAATGCCAGTAAATAGACGATTGTTTGGCTGGCTATATTTCGCATCGATATGACAGCTAGGCAGCGTGTAAAAATTTGCGCGTTCCCTACCACGAAAGCGACGCTGATACAAACGAGCCTCTCTGCTCAGGAGTCTCACGGGCACGATGTTCTCTTTCCCACTCTCTTCGACGACGAAGGGCATCTTCCCCGGACTATACGTATGGGGGGAGATCAGTGTGAAAATTACGCAGGGGTGCAGTCGCTGAATTAGGGTACACCATACCCAAATAAATATACCGTACACCCTAAATCAGCGACTGCACCCCTGCGTAATTTTGACACTGTTGTCCCCCCATATCGGACCGTGGTATATACACACTTGGACATAATTATTAACAACCGAGAGAGAGGCAAGGTCTTGGCCCGCCTGAAAACCAACTTCTTTTCGCAGCTGCTATAGCCGCATGCGCAGGCAGCTTAGGAATCCTTTGCCAACTTTTCCGGAGGGCGGGACAGCGCGATCCCCCCCCTTATATATAGGCCACACCCACTTATTACGTTTACTGCGCGTGCGCGTACTACGTGTTGATGCGCGCAGCTCGTCGAGTTGGCACTGGCAGACGAGCCAAAGCTAGCCAGATCAGTAAACTTATCAATAAACTGACTAAGGGCGAGGTAACTCTGGACAGTGCGACTTCTCGCGCGCGTAACTTACTAACGCAGCAACCAGATTTCTTAGCAAGAGAGAAGCTTTGGGTAAAAGATCGAGCAAAGTCTCCCGCACCCTGCTTGCGGGCCAGCATTATGCACCGACTTCGACTGTAACTTGCGCAGAAACTTCTTTGTCGTCGTGTAAATGTAAAATACAGTTATATACCTACCTGCACTCTGCTCTAGTTGTATTTAGACTTGGTTTTCCAGCTTTGTGTGAGCTTAGCTGCAGATGCAAAGGGGGGCAACCACAGTGCTACATGTGGTTGCTTGAATGCACCTTTTATTTCCAAAGCACACACCAATTTCACCTCGATTTTGATGGAGTCTCAGTCACAGGAGGAATTTGTGAAACGCCTGGAAGCGCTGCCAAAACATGCACGTGACATACACGAGTGGAAGGGAGGAAGGTGTGACTTCCCCCCACTTCGGGTGTGCACCTGCAAAGAGTGCGGTGACAAAGAACAAATAGAGTGTAAGGGAAAACCGTACAAAACCAAAATAAAGCTGCACTGTGAATTTCATGCACTGTTGTACGAGAGGTATAACGAGGCAATGGCAAAGAACAAGTGGACGGATCAGCAACTTGAAGCATCAATGGAGGAGAACCACAGTTTTCCTCTGCAAAGAATAACATCTAGCTACAACAACTCAATCCTTCATTGAACAACTTACTTACATTTTTCACTTATAATACCCTAGAAATACTTATACACTCTCTAGGCATATTCCTTGGGAATACTAAGTCGGGAAGTCCCGTATATACAGTAGAGGAAAAGCTTTATAAGGGTTGACACACCTTTCTCTTAGCTCCAGCTGCTCCGAGGATAGAGTCCCACAAACGTCTCAAAATTCTCTACACCTACCGCTCAGTACAAAACCGCAGCCTCCAACACCTCAGAGGTGATAATCGTGGCAACGCGCAGTGTCCCGCCGGCATTAAACGCGCGCGTATGCGCTCACGTGCTAAGTGTCCAATCCTGTTCACAGTCAAGGCGCATAAACGAAACGAAACGGAACGAAACGAAAAGAAACGGAACGATTCATAGGCCAAACCGAACGATATATACCGCCGCCTACCCAAACGAACGGTAATGAAAGTGCAAACCCTCGGCGAACTGCGCATGCGCGGTACCACTAATTGATGGGCTGGTTTTTCTATCCCGCTAGTATCTCGCGGAGAGTCTGGCATGCGGGAGTTGATACATGCCCTTCGTTGTGACTTCTTGTACCTTCAAGATACACAGAGCGAGAGGATGCGGTCGAGGTAAGCCTGTGCTAATTTGCATATTAGCTCCTTGACTTGCCATAACTTTCGAACGCAGCATTTTTTTACCAAAATCGCTATTATTGGGCGAGCGGAGCGAGCTTGGGCGAGCCGAGCGAGAACTCAAAAGTACGTATATACAACCATCATCGTTACTAGCTACGTACCTACAGGTAAAATGTTTCAGCAAGTAACAGAAGGTATTATGGCGTTGTCATGTCAGGTTGAGTAAGGCAGCTTGCGCATACGTAGCTAGTGAAGCTAGACTAGAAGAAAGTAGCAACGGAAAGGTAATGTACCTCCTCCCCCTCTCCATCTCTCGTCGCTGAAAAGACAAGTCTCTCTGTCGTGAGGACTTACGACGGCCGGGCGTTCTGTCTGTCTACCTCTTGGACAAGAAGCAGTATCGTTGCCTTGCCCGCTCTCGATCTCGTAATCATCCCTGAAAAAGACGAGTCTCTCTGTCGTGAGGACTTTCGACGGCCGGGCATACATAGATAGAAAATTCGAGCCGAAGACACGATTCTTTGTCTGTTTTTCTTCGACGAAGAACACTATGTCCTCTCCTTCGAAACCAACTGGACGGACTGTATATAAGAGGATGGATAAAAAAATTCCGCACAGTAATAAGACATGGAAGATAGAATATGGGTTAAATTAGTATATAGTATGTGAACAGAACGAAGCACCAAAGAAGATATTTATTTATCTGTTTTTGTTATATGCCACCACAAGGTTCAACTATCACCTGCAACAGAGCATCTGAATGGGGCTCCCTGGAATGTGAAATACTGAAATTCTCATGTGAAGGTGATATTGTTTTGTGTGGAGATTTAAATGCCAGGACAGGCACTATAGGTGACTATATTGAGAGTGACAATGACATGCCTGAATACTCTCCTCTAACCTATAGTGTTGACGAAGATCATCCACGTGTGTCACAAGATACAACAGTTTATATGCAGGGTAGATGCCTCCTGGACCTATGTATTGG